GTTCTTTTACAGGAACTATTGTTATACCATCTTCGTCTTCGTATGGTTTCCCCACTTCAACATCTCTGTCTTTGACATTGACAACAACACTTTGACTGTTTGTTTGAGTTGGTGAATTTAACTTCACATCTGCCACCGCCATTAAACCTTTTGAAACACTTACACTTCTATTTTTCGGAAATGACATTTTACTTAGAATAAAAAGATGGACGTATTCAGATATCTCTTCGAATTGAAGCAAAACAAAGTTTACACACACAAACAATACAAATACATTGACAGAATAGTTCTTTACACAAACAATGGAAAATGTTATAGAATAGCAGTCTTTGCTGAACCTAAATATTTTCATAAAGCAAAGAAAGTTGGTATAACTGAAATGGTGAAAGTTCTTGAAGCAGACAAAAATATAACTTCAAAACTTACAGATATTTCTAAAGGAAAGTTTATAATACAATATTATGTCAAAACTGGCGTACTGTCAATATTTGACGGAGAGAAGTCAGTTCAAGAACAACTTACTGACCTGCTGCCAAAATCTGCTCGATGGAAGCTGTCGTTATGCCAATCTGAGGAGCCCCAGCAGGTTTCATCGAACGAATTTTCAAAAGAGCATCTTCCGTGAAAAGTGCTATTGGTTTTGTAAACTTCTTTGCTTTCAATTCATCTGGACCGTCTCTGTCACCAGTATATTGTATTTGAACTGTACCAACAGTTGAAATACCACCCATAAAGTCTTCTGAGTCAGCAAATGGAATGCCAAGCCAAAAGTTTGAACGGTCTCCATTTGTATATTGAGTTTTTTGACCTCCTGTATGGGTCCATACTTTCACATATGGCATAATAGAACTTTGCATTTCAGGGTTAATGGTTGTTGTGAAGTTGTTGTTAAAGTTCATAGCATCTAATGTCAAGTTGTATGACCTCATATCCTCAACTGTAGAATATTCTTCTCTTGGATAATATTTGCCATCTATGTTTATATGATATTTAATACCAGGGTTGTAGAAACAAGAATAGTCATTTATAGTTCGTCTGAAAAGAACAAACATAGTATCTGCATGTTTCATTGCAGTTGTTAAGGCAATATCTGTTCTTGCACCTGGGTCAGCACTTTGGTTTCCAACTTCACCTGCAAAGTCTTTGACAGATATTTGGTGTATAGGGAACATAAGTGGAACTGCAATATATTTGGCAGCTAAAGCATTTGAAATATCTGGGTCCAACATATAGACTGCAAGTCTGCTTTCTATTCTCTTGCATTCAAATTTTTCGCATGTGAACTTAACTGGGTCCCAAGCATCTCCAGCAGCATTGAAATAATAGTTTACTTCAGTGTTGAGGTTTGAGAAACCAAAGTCTAAGTCAACTTTGTCTTTGCAAAATTCGGCGAATGACGTTTTATTTGTTCCCTTTACGTCTGTAAGAGTGAATGGGTCTTGTGTTGGTGCAATGACTAAGTTATTTTTGCTTGGAGTAAGTTCGATAGAAATTTTTCCTGCCCAGTTTGGCAAGTATCTTAAAAACCTGAAGATGAGGAAAGATGACAAAGGAACTCTAAGTTTCAGTTTTACTTTAGTGGCAGCAGTTCCATCTGAACCAGAAAGGTTAACATAAACTCCTGGAACGTTAGGGTCAAGTCTTCTTATTTTCTCAATAGTTGCATACTGGTCTGTTTGTTCTCTAGCTTGTGGTTGTACTGAGTTTCTTAAAGCGAACCATTCATAGTTTGCCCATGTTACTGTTTGAACTAAGTCAGAGTTAGAATATATCTTATATCCCATGAAAACTTCTGGAGCATATTGGTATCCGACATAGAAAATTCCATTGCAACCTTTCTTTTCAGACAACTTGGCAGAAGGTTTTATTTCAATGTCTTGTTCCACGTATAAGAAAGAGTTGTCAATAGAAATAATATGAAACCTGTCGCAAGCAATATCTACTGTTGTTGAAGAACCTTCTCCAAACTCACCTACGTTTCCATAAGAAACAGCAGTTGTATATTCGTAAGTTCCAGGAACTATTTCTGACCTTCTAATGGCATTGTCGCATTCGTTATACCATTCGGAAACATTTCCATTCATGGCATCCAAAACTGTTGGCGTTATATTCTGAGCGGCGTACATTTCATATGGGTAAAAATATAGAATAGTTGGATTTATATGTCATAATAGAACCCACTCGGACCAAGCTTTACTTTCTTCCTGACTGAGTTTTTAACTCTTCTTTTTCCTTCATTGCCACTACTTTCACTAGATGAAGTTACTTCTTCACTACTTTCACTTTGTTCTACTCTTCTCTTCTTCTTTGGTGTCGCTTTTGGTAACTTGCCCTCTGCTTCAAGTTGTTGCATCTTTGCCTCATGTTCACCTAGTATGTTGTAAATTTCCCATGTCCTTTTTGCCTTTGGGCTCTGGTCGCCCATCTCAGGTAACCTATATCCTAGAAAGATTTTGTCATAGTTTGTATTTGAGTCTTCGCGTATTGTTTGCATGACTCTTTCCTGAGTTTCCGGTTCAAGCTCTTCAAACAGAGCTTGTCCATATGGAATAAGCTCGTTTCCAAATATATGTTTTTGTAGCCATTCTGGTTTTCTTTCCATGTTACCAATAATATCTTTTGTGAATGGGAAAGCTTTTACCCAATGTTTCAGTCTTTCGTCATTTATTTCTGTAGTTGGTTTTATTTTGTCAAGGAACATGTTTTTCAATACTAACATTTCATTTGGTACTGTCCATTTGAGTTTTCTTAAATATTCATCCCTTCTCGGTTCATTGTCTGCAAAGTAAGTTTTTATGACATTTTGTAAACTTTCGTTTGCAAGGTCATGTACAATAGGTTCTCTTCCTTCTCTCTCCCTAACTGTCTTTCTAAACTCTTCACCAAATATACCATCTCTATGGTTCTGTGTAGTTCTTTGAGATAAATGTTTTAGAACGTCAGGTGTTATATTTCCATCAGCCATGTTCATTTCATACTGGTTCAAAATATCTGCATCTTTCATATCTTTCAATGGCATTAAAGCCGCGCTGAAAATACCAGCTATATCTGGTTCACCATTCACTTCCATTGCGTCTACAACTTCTTGGAATTGTGGTTGTAAGTTTATGAACCACCTATCCGGATTAGCTTTATGACCCCATCTCATTGTAGTTCCATAGTCTGCAGAAACAAAAGTAGGTTTGTTTCCATATTGGTTAGGTTCTGAATGAACTTTAAACAATGTTTCATTTCTATATGTTTTGTTGAAATTTAACCTTTTATTTTCACCGAGTTCAGCCAAAGATTGAACGTTATATGGTCGTAAGTAAAAAGGATTGTTGTATTTGCGTACATTATCTTTCAGTACTTCCATTCTATGCTGAATATTTTCATCTGATGTTGGAGTCTTTTGTATGTCGGCAAACATTTTTCGATATTCTTCTACTATGTCAGCCGAATTTTTTTTAGACTCTTGGAAAGATTCCATATTCACCTCATACTCTTGTTGAGGGTCAAGATTTTTCGGCTGTTCCAAATCTTCATCTAGTTCTGTGAGGTTAGTTTCCAAAGGAGGGACTTGTTCGTTTCCTTCAGGCTCTTCTAGCTGTTGTTGCTGAACTATTTCTTCCATGTCTGGTTGTATCTGAACTTCTTCCTGTTGAGTTTCTTGTACCTCATCTGCTGGCATTTCATATATTCCGAGACCGTTTTTAAAAAGTTCCCTATCTAAGTCATCCGGACTCATAAACCTTTCTTCTTTCGTTCCGTCTCTATTTTTTACGCGTTTCATGAAGAGAGTTGAATTGTCATTTAGCTCTGACACCAAATATCTCGGAGTAAATTCGTTCATGTCATTTGGATGATATGCTATTAAATCATATCCCTTAGCGAGCTTGTATTTTCCAGGTTTGAAATTATATCCCATTTGGTGCTGAACCATAAAGCTAAATAGGTTCGGGTCTGTATTTCCTTCCTTGAACTTTCTAATAGCTTCTTTATATCTGTCACTAAAGTCAAGAGTATCTGGGTAACCATATTCTTCCTTAAGCATTTTTAAGAAATCTTGGTTTCCTTGTTCTCTACTTCTTTTATGTCCTTGCTCTGTTTGTGGTTGTTGTGCTGGTTGTGGAGGTGGTTGTTGTGCAGGGTTTTGAACTGTTGGTTGCTGTGCTGGTTGTGGAGGTGGTTGTTGTGCTGGTTGTTGTTGTTGTTGTGTGCTGGATTTTGAACTGTTGGTTGTTGTGTTGGTTTTGGTGCATGCCTGTGTCTGTGTCCATGTGACGATGTAAATGTTTTAGGTAGTCCTGGTGCAGGTGCTTCTCTTGGAGGGTTTGGTGGTATATAAGTTCCACTAGCTAGTATATAAGTTCCACCAGCTGGTATATAAGTTCCACCAGCTGGCACATATGTTCCATCTGCAGCATAATGTCCTACCTGACTTTTCGTTCTTAAGAAAGCATTTACTAGGTCTCTTTTGGTCTGTTGTAACTCTTTTTCTTGACTTTCCACAACAGCTGTTCTAACGGCGTCATGGGCACTTTGAACTGCCTGTCTCGTTGCTGCATCTGTTATTTTCGTCATATTTTGTGCTACTTCTTTTAACTCTTTGTCGAAACCTTCAGACTTCAGTTTCTTTCCAGATGAGAAGTCGTTCACTAGTTTCACCTTACTATGAAGAGCTTCGAAGGCGTTCTTAAAGTCAGCATTCGTTAAAGCTTCATTTGAACTGTCTTCATCCGCTTGTATTTTTGTCCTTATTGACCCTATAAGTTGGGCTGCTTTAGCGTTGGCTTGGGCGTCTAACCAGTCATTATTAGCTTTTATATATTCTGCGCTTTTCATTGCCTTTTGCATGGCTGCGTCGTTATTTTTACTTTCTTGTGCTAAGTTTTCATACTGTACGGTTTGGTTTTGCAACTGTAAAAGTTTTTCTGCCTTTACATTTGCTTCAACTTCTTTTTTATACTCATCGCTATCCATATATGTCTTCAGGGCTTTTTGTTTTATTTCTTCATCTTTCAGTACTTTATATTGAGTAGTATGGTTTTTCAAATTTATAACATCTTGTTCCATTTTTGCTACTTCTGCTGCTTTTTCTGACACTTTTTTCGCATATTCCTCTGTACTTAGTTCTTTCAGTTGTTCTTCTTTCTTCTTTTTCTCTACGTTTAACTCATTGAGTTTCTTTGTGTGTCTGTCATATTCTAGTTTCTTTTCGTTTTCACTTATTTGTTTCTGTATGTCTATGTTTGACTTTTTGACATCTGTTATTTGATTTTTGAGTGAACTCAAATTCATTTGACTTTGAGGGTTATAAGCTGTTCCGTCTGCAGCTCCACCATAGCCTGCCATTTTCGCTAAAAGTGCCGCTCTTAAACCTCCACTCTGTGCACCAATAACTCGGTTTAAAAGCATAGGGTTGCTTGACATTTGTTGCAACATAGTGGGGTCATTCAGCATTTGTTGTTGCAACTGTTGTTGTGGTGTCAGTTTTACTATTGGATGTTTCAATGCTCCCTTCCTCTTACGTATATTCTTACGTAGCTTACGTGGCATTTTAAGTGAAGTTAAAAAGCGGTTTTATACTAAACATCTTCGGGGCTAGAGGGCGCAACGCGCCTGGAAGCCCCACTACCTTTTTTTTTTCAAGTAGATGTGATTTGATTCTGTACAACTAAATATTAATATATTTAAAACATTGTAGAATTAAAATTTTTGACGATATCAATTTATAAAAAAAATGCAAGCGAATCCTTTTAATAAAGCTAAGATACGATTTGCTTCACTTTGTCCACCTAGTAAAGTGTTCAACACAGGGAGCATGGACTGGGAAGCATGTGGGCTACTTGCATTAGCCGGTAAAGGCACAATTTATCTCTATAAAACTACTAAAAATGATATTTCTTTCTTATGATCCATTGAAATTCTAAATTCTAACATAACTTGCCTTAAATTCCACTATGAGCTACCTTATCTTGCAATTTCAGACGATTGCGGAAGAGTTTTGTTATGGGATTGTGAATCAGGTCTTACACTCGGAATCACTCGTCAAGTATCTGAAGCTCAGTATGTATCGGAGCTTCAATGGTCCCGTAAAATCGTTTTAGGCTTTGCAGAACCAAATACAATTTATAGTATCGATTTTTGGCCGTATGAAGCTGAAGATCAAGCGAAAAACTCACGAATACTTTGGAAGATAGATGTTCCTGGTACATATACAAGGATGGCTGTTAATAGTTCAGATATATTCACTGCAATTCTATATTCTAATGGTCCATCCTTTACAATTATCACGTCAAAGAATGCCAAGCAGGCTCCAACATCTCAATCTCAATCCCATACTTTAGATAAATCAGAAAAAATCGTAGAAATTCAACATCATCCCCATATTAGTAATATTTTATTAATTATGCTTGAAGGAAAAATACTTACGTTTAACATAGCGACCAAATCTGGCCGAAATCTTGTAATCGATGAATCATCCCAATCATCTTTCCATAAACTGCTTCCTTCTTTAACAAATGACAACGAAATTACAGTTTATGGTCAAGACTCGTCACTCAGTATCTATATCTGTAACGAAGACTACATTTTTACAAAATCAGGAACAATAAAATTGAAAAGAGAGCTGTTTGACTTAAAATCGAAGTATTTACCACTATCCGCTGCATGTAACCGTGCACTTCCCGAGCGATACATCGCGTTCTCTCCATCAAATGGCTTAGTTATGTTTGCCATAAAAGATGATATACCTTACGTCATCGCGCAGTCTCAAATTATACCACAGATACCAACCTGTTACGATTTCTACGACGGAATCCTTGCTTTCGGCACTCCAACCGGAAAGATAATTTTCGCAGACGTTTCAGAAGGGAAATACACACAGAACTACCTTGCATCCAGCACATCCATTGAAAAGATCAAGTTCCTTACCAAAGATGTCCTTCTGTGGTACTCAAAAACCGAGTGTGGATCAATAAATCTTCCCAAGCGCCAAGTTATTCCAATCCACACTCGCCTTGGCCCTGCCACAGACCTAATATGTTCAGAGGAGCTCGGCGTTTTCGTCCACGGCAAATACGACCTTGGTATTTTTTATGATGTCAAACAAAAGCCGATGACTCTTCAAACATCCATCACCGCTGTTGCAGTCCAAGTATCCAGAATACCAGCAACATGTTTCCAAGGCGATACTCCCAATTTCGCCGTATTATTATCTACCGGAGAAATCCAAGTCTACACATACAAGAACGGCATAGCACAGATGCCTGTTCTGAGGCTGCGTAACTCACGGGAGAACTCCAGGACAACTTGTCTTGCTTGGAAAGGCGATTGCATCATAACTGCTGACACAGACGGCGTAATTATGTTTTACGACTTTGCTTTCGGTACATCGAAGCAAACATACTCTCCTTTCATCGACATAGACAGGATAGAGTTCGAGAGATCATCCAGCGGATTGTACGTACACGCGAGAGACGGAAAATTTGGTTTTTCACTTGAAAAAGTGGAAAGTTGTCCTTTTTCTGTTTCCTCATTCGCTGTAACAGGAAATGGACTCGTCCTCGTCTCCCCGCTCAATGACGAAGCCGTGAAATTCGTTATTGCAAGAGACTGGAGATCTGTAAAAAGAATCACTTCACCTGCCCTCTTAAAACCGCTAAAAACCGCCCAGCAACGGTTAGAGCTTATGGGTGAGCAATTATTAACGAATCCTACTACAGGAACATGGTCAGAAGCACTTCAAATAGCTGAGATAGCTAATGACCATGGATTTCCAACTGATTCCATTATTTGGAAGTGTGTTTCACGTAGTTTGGGAGGTCCGAGGTTGCAAGCACGACATTCCATGTTTGGAGGGAAAGAAGAAGTTGTTTCCGCGTTGAGGATTCAATCTTCTCTGTTTTCTCCTGCAGATACTCCGATTTCTGCCATTTTCAACTTGTTGTTCAAGTTCAGAATGGGTGATAGAAGAGGAGCTGTCGAAGTTTTCAAGAGTCTCTCCAACAAAAGCGAGTTCACAATAGTGGCAAGCATTTGTTCGGCGTTGCTTCTCGGTTACGAAGATAAAATTTTGCCACAAAACGTGACAGAATTTTTGATAACAACCGCTGTTCCACTTTTTGCACAGCACAGATTTATAGAAGGCTGTATATTGATGCATTTAGCTGGCGCTAATCTTTCTGCCGCAAGATATCTTCAGGACAACGGAAGATGGGAAGATTCTGTCGAAGTCTGCAAATTGGAAGAGTTTTCGAATGAGTCGAAGAGTTTGTTGAGAAGAGCCGCCCACCACTTCTTGGATACTGGAAATGCAATGAACGCTTTGTTGCTGTTCATATCAATAAGAGATTTCCATCCTGCTTTGGCAATTTTGATGCAGATAAAATACAAAGCTCTCGCGTTTCATTTGATGATGTTCTTGGATAGGGCTGATGTAATTAAGCCGTACGACGAAGACACTTCGAGATACGCAACACAGTTTGCGGATTTGGATACTTTGAGACAGGATATAATTGTCAAATATGACAAAATAATTAAGAAATAATTTTATTTGTATATTTATTTTCTTTATTTATAAAAAAAAGTCGAAAAAAAATGAAATTGTTTATATCGCATTTTCAATGATCTTTCAAGCCAGTTGTCAGATAGAAAAAAATTACGCATTTAACAAAGTTAAAGGGGAAAAGCATCCTGAAATTACGAAACATTTTAAAAAAAAAATAAAAAAAATAAAGTGGGAAAGTCTGGAAATGATATGCTATGTATTGTAATTTTCAAAACTCAGCTTTCTAATGGAGCTATCACTTGTTACGTAAACTATATATATCGAATCAAAAGTTTGCCATGTTGTAATTTGATTTACAAGACATGATTTAATTAAAAAATAAAGGGTTTAAAATATAAAATAAAATATAGGGTGTCCAAAGGTGCGTTTAGCACAGCGCTCTATATGAGACTATTAAAGGAGATATAGCTGATTAAAAATATATAATAAAAAATATGAATATATGTATATGATGAGTATGTTGTATTTTGGCGCCATGCCGGGATATAAAATGAATTTTGAGACAAGAGGCGGTTTCGCGGGAAATTTTGGCGGGATTTTTTTCATTTTTTTAATGAATCATAAAGAAAACATCCTCGCTCTTGCAAAAAAATGCAAAGACTGTAAAAAAATCTACGAGACATTGGTAAAATGCTTCGGTATGGATGCTCCTAGCTATTCCACTGTAACGTATCATGTTAGGATGTATCACTTCATGAACAAAAAGGCGCCCATCATAAAAATTGACAAAAAATCGCCGGATCAAAGAAAAATCAAAGCAATTCTTCAAGCGCTAGATGAAGACCCAAGAGCATCACTCAGAAGGATAGAGGAGATGACAAAGATACCACGTACAACAGTCAGTTATTATCTGCACAATTATTTGAACTACAAACTAGCGTATACACGTTGGGTTCCGCACAACCTTAATTCAGTTCAAAAAAAATCTAGAGTCCAATCTTCGAAAGAGCTCCTCTCTATATTGGGTGCGTATCAATCCAAGAAGTTTCGCTTTTTAGTAACAGGGGACGAGTCTTGGTTTCAATATGCAACAGAAGCCAAAATCATGTGGATCCCGAAGGATGAAAATCCGCAAACATTCCCGAAGAAAAAAATTGACACACCAATGATGATGTTGTCGGTTTTTTGGGGCGTGAATGGCACCATCGCAATTGATATTCTTCAAAAACCTAATACGATGAATGCTCAGTATCTAATTGACAATGTTCTTATTCAAATTATCAATTCTGATGAGTTTGAGAAATCCAAACAACAAAAACAAAAGTTTGCAATTCATTTTGATAATTCAAGAGTTCACAAAAGTCATAAGGTAATGAATTACTTGGTGGAAAACAATGTCAAAGTTGTTCCAAACCCAATTTATTCACCTGATATTGCACCCTCTGACTTTTATTTATTCGGCACGCTAAAAAAGAGAGCTGAAGGACGCGAATTCGCGAGTCCAGATGATCTTGAAAATTTTGTAAGAGAGCAATTTGAGCAATTTTCGCATGATGATTTAAAGCGTGTCTTTCAAGCCTGGATCGATCGCTGCGAACGCGTGATTGAATCCAATGGTGATTATATTTAAATAAACTTTATATATATGTAACTTGTTTATTTCTATTCGCAGTATTCAGGTTTGTGCTAAACACACCTTTGGACACCCTATATTTATCAAAGAAAAAAAGTTAAACTAAAAAATATATCAAAATAAATATTATATTAATATAAAGAGGTAGCAGTTTGACCAGCTGGATCTGTGATAGAAACGTTGAGTCTTCAGAAATCTTTGAAGGAGCTGCAATTTGGAAAATTGTTTTCACTTTAGGAGAATATAATTTTCTCTCAAAATATACAAAAATAGTAATACCAATACATGTGTCTAATATACTTTAAAACCATCCTGACAAAATTCAAAAACGAAGAGTTCTTCTCTCCAAATTTTTTTCAAAATCAAAAAAATGAGATAAAAAAGTACGTTTGGAAAATTCATTTTTAGCATTTTAGGAATTTTCTCACTTTTCTTCCAAATTGACATCCTTAATTAAATTAAATTACACATTAACACCGGAGCCGGAATCATCTTGGATATCAGATGATGATTTATCTTTAGATGGTTTCCTGCAGAAAACGAAGTAGATGATGAGAATAATAAGGATAACAGCAAGAAGAACGCCAATAACAATACCAGCCTTCTGTCCACCAGTAAGTCCACTATTTTCAGGTGTTGGAGTTGGCTTGGAATCATCAGGGCTTGGTGCAACGTATTGTTGTTTCTGAAGTGAAACCTCTGTTTCAATGATATTGGATTGAGCTTGATCTTTGGATCCAGCTAACCTAATTTGAAGTTTAACTTTCCCATCTTCTTTGATATCTTCATACTTTGGAGCTGGAATGTTGAGTAGATATGTTTTGCCTTCGTCGGCATGTAATTTCTTAATTGCAGATGGGGTTTCTACTTCAGTTACATTGTCGTCTGGGAGATCTATCCATTTCTGATCTGCATAGAATCTATATTGGAAGCTTCCTGTCTTTGCCTCAAAGTGTTGTAATGTAACTTTAACTGGAATATATTCACCGGCCTTGAATGGTTCTGTATGATTTTCAGCAACAACAGTTGGCGCAGATAAATATGGAGACTTTCCAAGAGAATATGTAACATTGCCGGTACCTAACTCGGATGTATGATTGGCGGCGAACTCAACAACAACAAGTAACTTTGTCTTATTATGATCCTCTGGAGCGTTAACTTTGAAAGTCCATTCTGTCTTGTTCGTGCTTGCTACGGCTGTTGCAGTGCTAACATTTTGTGATGTTTTGACGCTAGTGACAGAGGCGCTGGAAGCGTTGCTTTCTGTTGCAAAGAGATAATATGTCTTTGTAATTGTTAAGTTATTTTTGAGTATGATTTTGGCTGAGTATAAATTGCCTGAAATTACTCCTGTGCCATTGTTGTATTGAACTCTATCGATAACTGGTGTGGAGACTGTGGGAGAATATGTAACATTGCCGGTACCTAACTCGGATGTATGATTGGCGGCGAACTCAACAACAACAAGTAACTTTGTCTTATTATGATCCTCTGGAGCTTTAACTTTGAAAGTCCATTCTACTTGTTCGTATTTATATCCAGTGAAGATAGAATAGAAGTTTGGAGAAGGTGTATAGAACTTTATACCTCGAACTGAAAAATCTTCTAACTTTGACAATAAGATATCCCAAGCATCTAACATCTTCCTTCCAACTTGTACAACTTTTATTTTCTTAAGTTTCTGTCTACATTCTTGTTCAGACACTATTGTTGCTCTTGGTTTGTTAAAGACAACATCCCATTCTTTCATGACATAACATTCTGGGGCAGAGTCAACATAAATGACTAAACGTTTCAAATTCTCGACTGCTTTGTTATAGTCTCTAAATGGACACATATTTCTGAATGCTTGGAAGTCATAAAAATCTGAAACATCTATTCTGTACATTTTTATAAAAATAAAAAAATTATTTTTTTATTCTTGACTTTGTTGTTCCATTTGTTGCATTTGTTGTTCTTGAGCTATTTGTTGTTGAAGTTGTTCTTGTAATACAATACTTTCACCAGTTGCATCTTCCAATTCGAAACTTTCTGCCGTCATTGACAAATACATAGGACATAAAAGTTTTACAGGAACAAAGTTTGCGTCAACTAATGTCAACGTTATACTTGCCAAAGTGTTTGAGTTCACTAAGGTTGAAAATTCTGCATTCGAATGAACAATAGGCAAACCAGCAGAGAAAGTATTGTTTATACGCATAAGTATCTTTTGGTCATAATAGTTTCTGTCGACATTCGAATAACACTTTGAACCTAAGTTTGAAACAATATATAAGATTGGTGTGCTTAATGTCAATGGAATAGACATTCCTTGTATGACACCTTTTCCTGTTATAGGAAACTGTTGGTAGTAAAAACCAGAAATAAGTTTTGTATTATAGCTCATATCGTTTATAGTAAACTCAGTCGGACATCCAAACATAATGAAACCTGCTCTAGTTGCAGCACATGTTACACCCGTACTTAAAGTATTAAATAAGTCAACAAAACCTGTTGGTGGTATATCTGAGTAAGTATCTTCAAAGAGTATTTTTTTTACCATTCACAACAATAAAGTCTTCTGGTGTCAAAAGAGCAAAACAGGCTTTAGTCGTCATTGTGTTTAAGGTTAGTTTACAATATCGTCCTTGAGGACTTTGTAAGTTTGTTGTTATAGAATTATATGACTCAGGGTTTTTAGTCGTAATAGTATAAACCATTATGTCTTCTGCCATTTACTTAGCAAATAAATTTTAATGAAATGTTGTGGTCGTCAAATATTTTTATAACGTCTGGGAAACTATATTTTAAGTTCAACGTTTCACCTCCTTTCATAACGTATATCTTGTCAATGACATTATATGAAACACCACAGCAACCAATGTCGGGTTCTATTTCTTTGATGTTTATATCGTCTGCCTCTGTCAAAAGTTTCAATAGTTCTTTCAAAACTTCATGAGGTGCAATGACATATGAGTTCACTTTTACAGGGTTGTGTTCGACCAAGTTTAACATTATACTTAAAGCTTGACAAATCTTCTCCTGAGTTTGAAGTTTGTCTTTCAGTTGTTGGTAGTCATTTCGAATATCTGCAACAGAACTTAAGTCTCTGCTAACTTCAGGATATGTTGGTTGTTCTTTTACAGGAACAATTGTTATACCATCTTCGTCTTCGTATGGTTTCCCCACTTCAACATCTCTGTCTTTGACATTGACAACAACACTTTGACTGTTTGTTTGAGTTGGTGAATTTAACTTCACATCTGCCACCGCCATTAAACCTTTTGAAACACTTACGCTTCTATTTTTCGGAAATGACATTTTACTTAGAATAAAAAGATGGACGTATTCGGATATCTTATTGAATTGAAGCAGAACAAAGTTTATACTCACAAACAATACAAATACATTGACAGAATAATTCTTTACACAAACAATGGAAAATGTTATAGAATAGCAATATTTGCTGAACCAAAATATTTTCATAAAGCAAAGAAAGTTGGTATAACTGAAATGGTGAAAGTTCTTGAAGCAGACAAAAATATAACTTCAAAACTGACCGATATTACTAAAGAAAAGTTTATAATACAATATTATGTCAAAACTGGCGTACTGTCAATATTTGACGGAGAGAAGTCAGTTCAAGAACAACTTACTGACCTGCTGCCAAAATCTGCTCGATGGAAGCTGTCGTTATGCCAATCTGAGGAGCCCCAGCAGGTTTCATCGAACGAATCTTCAAAAGAGCATCTTCCGTGAAAAGTGCTATTGGTTTTGTAAACTTCTTTGCTCTCAATTCATCTGGACCGTCTCTGTCACCAGTATATTGTATTTGAACTGTACCAACAGTTGAAATACCACCCATAAAGTCTTCTGAGTCAGCAAATGGAATGCCAAGCCAAAAGTTTGAACGGTCTCCATTTGTATATTGAGTTTTTTGACCTCCTTTATGAGTCCATACTTTCACATATGGCATAATAGAACTTTGCATTTCAGGGTTAATAGTTGTTGTGAAGTTGTTGTTAAAGTTCATAGCATCTAATGTCAAGTTGTATGACCTCATATCCTCAACTGTAGAATATTCTTCTCTTGGATAATATTTGCCATCTATGTTTATATGATATTTAATACCAGGGTTGTAGAAACAAGAATAGTCATTTATAGTTCGTCTGAACAGTACAAACATAGTATCTGCATGTTTCATTGCAGTTGTTAAAGCAATATCTGTTCTTGCACCTGTGGCTCCTGGATTTTGGTTTCCAACTTCACCTGCAAAGTCTTTGACAGATATTTGGTGTATAGGGAACATAAGTGGAACTGCAATATATTTGGCAGCTAAAGCATTTGAAATATCTGGGTCCAACATATAGACTGCAAGTCTGCTTTCTATTCTCTTGCATTCAAATTTTTCGCATGTGAACTTAACTGGGTCCCAAGCAGTTCCAGCAGCATTGAAATAATAGTTTACTTCATTGTTGAAGTTTGAGAAACCAAAGTCTAAGTCAACTTTGTCTTTGCAAAATTCGGCGAATGACGTTTGATTTGTTCCCTTTACGTCTGTAATAGTGAATGGGTCTTGTGTTGGTGCAATGACTAAGTTATTTTTGCTTGGAGTAAGTTCAATAGAAATTTTTCCTGCCCAGTTTGGTAAGTATCTTAAAAACCTGAAGATGAGGAAAGATGACAAAGGAACTCTAAGTTTCAGTTTTACTTTGGTTACTGCTGCTGCAGTTTGTCCAGAAAGGTTAACATAAACTCCTGGAAAGTTAGGGTCAAGTCTTCTTATTTTCTCAATAGTTGCATACTGGTCTGTTTGTTCTCTAGCTTGTGGTTGTACTGAGTTTCTCAAAGCGAACCATTCATAGTTTGCCCATGTTACTGTTTGAACTAAGTCAGAGTTAGAATATATCTTATATCCCATGAAAACTTCTGGAGCATATTGGTATCCGACATAGAAAATTCCATTGCAACCTTTCTTGTCAGACAACTTGGCAGAAGGTTTTATTTCAATGTCTTGTTCCACGTATAAGAATGAGTTGTCAATAGAAATAATATGAAACCTGTCGCAAGCAATATCTACTGTTGTTGAAGAACCTTCTCCAAACTCACCTACGTTTCCATAAGAAACAGCAGTTGTATATTCATAAGTTCCAGGAACTATTTCTGACCTTCTAATGGCATTGTCGCATTCGTTATACCATTCGGAAACATTTCCGTTCATGGTATCCAAAACTGTTGGCGTTATATTCTGAGCGGCGTACATTTCATATGGGTAAAAATATAGAATAGTTGGATTTATATGTCATAATAGAACCCACCCGGACCAAGCTTTACTTTCTTCCTGGCTGACTTTTTAACTGAATCTTTAACTCTTCTTTTTCCTTCATTGCCACTACTTTCACTAGATGAAGTTACTTCTTCACTACTTTCACTTTGTTCTACTCTTCTCTTCTTCTTTGGTGTCGCTTTTGGTAACTTGCCCTCTGCTTCAAGTTGTAGCATCTTTGCCTCATGTTCACCTAGTATGTTGTAAATTTCCCATGTCCTTTTTGCCTTTGGGCTCTGGTCGCCCATCTCAGGTAACCTATATCCTAGAAAGATTTTGTCATAGTTTGTATTTGAGTCTTCGCTTATTGTTTGCATGACTCTTTCCTGAGTTTCCGGTTCAAGCTCTTCAAATATAGCTTGTCCATATGGAATAAGCTCGTTTCCAAATATATGTTTTTGTAGCCATTCTGGTTTTCTTTCCATGTAACCAATAATATCTTTTGTGAATGGGAAAGCTTTTACCCAACGTTTCAGTCTTGCGTCATTTATTTCTGTAGTTGGTTTTATTTTGTCATGGAACATGTTTTTCAATACTAACATTTCATTTGGTACTGTCCATTTGAGTTTTCTTAAATATTCACCCCTTCTCATTTCATTGTCTGCAAAGTAAGTTTTTATGACATTTTGCAAACTTTCGTTTGCAAAGTCATGTACAATAGGTTCTCTTCCTTCTCTCTCCCTAACTCTCTTTCTAAACTCTTCACCAAATATACCATCTCTATGGTTCTGTGTAGTTCTTTGAGATAAATGTTCTAGAACGTCAGGTGTTATATTTCCATCAGCCATGTTCATTTCATACTGGTCCAAAATATCTGCATCTTTCATATCTTTCAATGGCATTAAAGCCGCGCTGAAAATACCCGTTATATCTGGTTCACCATTCACTTCCATTGCGTCTACAACTTCTTGGAATTGAGGTTGTAAGTTTATGAACCACCTATCCGGATTAGCTTTATGACCCCATCTCATTGTAGTTCCATAGTCTGCAGAAACAAAAGTAGGTTTGTTTCCATATTGGTTAGGTTCTGAATGAACTTTAAACAATGTTTCATTTCTATATGTTTTGTTGAAATTTAACCTTTTATTTTCACCGAGTTCAGCCAAAGATTGAACGTTATATGGTCGTAAGTAAAAAGGATTATTGTATTTGCGTACATTTTCTTTCAGTACTTCCATTCTATGCTGAATATTTTCATCTGGTGTTGGAGTCTTTTGTATGTCGGCAAACATTTTTCGATATTCTTCTACCATGTCAGCCGAATTTTTCTTAGACTCTTGGAAAGATTCCATATTCTCCTCATACTCTTGTTGAGGGTCAAGATTTTTCGGCTGTTCCAAATCTTCATCTAGTTCTGTGAAGTTAGTTTCCAAAGGAGGGACTTGTTCGTTTCCTTCAGGCTCTTCTAGCTGTTGTTGCTGAACTATTTCTTCCATGTCTGGTTGTATCTGAACTTCTTCCTGTTGAGTTTCTTGTACCTCATCTGCTGGCATTTCATATATTCCGAGACCGTTTTTAACAAGTTCCCTATCTAAGTCATCCGGACTCATAAACCTTTCTTCTTTCGTTCCGTCTCTATTTTTTACGCGTTTCATGAAGAGAGTTGAATTATCATTTAGCTCTGACATCAAAGATCTCGGAGTAAATTCAGTCATGTCATTTGGATGATATGCTATTAAATCATATCCCTTAGCGAGCTTGTATTTTCCAGGTTTGAGATTATATCCGATTTGATGCTGAACCATAAAGCTAAATAGGTTCGGGTCTGTATTTCCTTCCTTGAACTTTCTAATAGCTTCTTTATATCTGTCACTAAAGTCAAGAGTATCTGGGTAACCATAATCTTCCTTAAGCATTTTTAAGAATTCTTGGTTTCCTTTTTCTCTACTTCTTTTATGTCTTTGCTCTGTTTGTGGTTGTTGTTGTGCAGGGTTTTGAACTGTTGGTTGCTGTGCTGGTTGTGGAGGTGGTTGTTGTGCTGGTTTTGGTTGTGGTGCAGGTGCTGGATTTTGAACTGTTGGTTGCTGTGCAGGGTTTTGAACTGTTGGTTTTGGTTGTTGTTGTGGTGCTGGATTTTGAACTGTTGGTTGTTGTGTTGGTTTTGGTGCATGCCTGTGTCTGTGTCCATGTGACGATGTAAATGTTTTAGGTAGTCCTGGTGCAGGTGCTTCTCTTGGAGGGTTTGGTGGTATATAAGTTCCACCAGCTGGCACATATGTTCCATCTGCAGCATAATGTCCTACCTGACTTTTCGTTTTTAAGAAAGCATTTACTAGGTCTGTTTTGGTCTGTTGTAACTCTTTTTCTTGACTTTCCACAACAGTTGCTCTAACTGCGTCATAGGCACTTTGAACTGCCTGTCTCGTTGCTGCATCTGTTATTTTCGTCATATTTTGTGCTACTTCTCTTAACTCGTTGTCGAAACCTTCAGACTTCAGTTTCTTTCCAGATGAGAAGTCGTTCACTAGTTTCACCTTACTATGAAGAGCTTCGAAGGCATTCTTAAAGTCAGCATTCATTAAAGCTTCATTTGAACTGTCTTCATCCGCTTGTATTTTTGTCCTTATTGACCCTATAAGTTGGGCTGCTTTAGCGTTGGCTTGGGCATCTAACCAGTCATTATTAGCTTTTATATATTCTGCGCTTTTCATTGCCTTTTGCATGGCTGCGTCGTTATTTTTACTTTCTTGTGCTAAGTTTTCATACTGTACGGTTTGATTTTGCAACTGTAAAAGTTTTTCTGCCTTTACATTTGCTTCAACTTCTTTTTTATACTCATCGCTATCCATATATGTCTTCATGGCTTTTTGTTTTATCTCTTCATCTTTCAGTACTTTATATTGAGTAGTATGGTTTTTCAAATTTACAACATCTTGTTCCATTTTTGCTACTTCTGCTGCTTTTTCTGACACTTTTTTAGCATATTCCTCTGTACTTAGTTCTTTCAGTTGTTCTTCTTTCTTCTTTTTCTCTACGTTTAACTCATTGAGTTTCTTTGTGTGTCTGTCATATTCTAGTTTCTTTTCGTTTTCACTTATTTGTTTCTGTATGTCTATGTTTGACTTTTTGACATCTGCTATTTGATTTTTGAGTGAACTCAAATTCATTTGACTTTGAGGGTTATAAGCTGTTCCGTCTGCAGCTCCACCATAGCCTGCCATTTTCGCTAAAAGTGCCGCTCTTAAACCTCCACTCTATGCACCAATAACTCGGTTTAAAAGTATAGGGTTGCTTGACATTTGTTGCAACATAGTGGGGTCATTCATCATTTGTTGTTGCAACTGTTGTTGTGGTGTCAGTTTTACTATTGGATGTTTCAATGCTCCCTTCCTCTTACGTATATTCTTACGTAGCTTACGTGGCATTTTAAGTGAAGTTAAAAAGCGGTTTTTGACAGATGTTTATATGACACTTTTTGTTCAGAATAAAAAACTACTCGGTCAAAGTGTTGTCAGTTTTGTAAAATAACCGTCTTATCTCATTCTATAAGGGAGAAAAGGCTTCTCAAAGTATACTTCCTTGGAACGCCTGTAACTTTTCCTGTAGCGACGATAGCCCCTTACTTGTCCGGACAAAGTTATACTATTTTGAGTGCTCTACAAAAAAGTCAACGGCGACGACTCTCAAAAACCGTTGTGTAAAAAGTTTTACCGTTGGACAAAAAAGTATATATAGAAAACAAAAAACGTTTATAGTTCATTCAATATTTGAGATAAACCGTTTTTCCAACGGTAACTATTAAATAAAATAAAAAAATAGAGGGGGTTACCGTTGACGAAAACGGTTTATCTCAAATATTTAAATATCTGTCTTTTTTGGTCAGTTCATTTTTATCTAATGGAAGCCAACGCTGTTAACCACAATTCAAACATAATTCAGAATGCTCAGTATCTAATTGACAATGTTCTTACTCAAATTATCAATTCTGATGAGTTTGAGAAATCCAAACAACAAAAACAAAAGTTTGCAATTCATTTTGATAATTCAAGAGTTCACAAAAGTCATAAGGTAATGAATTACTTGGTGGAAAACAATGTCAAAGTTGTTCCAAACCCAATTTATTCACCTGATATTGCACCCTCTGACTTTTATTTATTCGGCACGCTAAAAAAGAGAGCTGAAGGACGCGAATTCGCGAGTCCAGATGATCTTGAAAATTTTGTAAGAGAGCAATTTGAGCAATTTTCGCATGATGATTTAAAGCGTGTCTTTCAAGCCTGGATCGATCGCTGCGAACGCGTGATTGAATCCAATGGTGATTATATTTAAATAAACTTTATATATATGTAACTTGTTTATTTCTATTCGCAGTATTCAGGTTTGTGCTAAACACACCTTTGGACACCCTATATTTATCAAAGAAAAAAAGTTAAACTAAAAAATATATCAAAATAAATATTATATTAATATAAAGAGGTAGCAGTTTGACCAGCTGGATCTGTGATAGAAACTGTAATTTTAACCGTTGAGTCTTCAGAAATCTTTGAAGGAGCTGCAATTTGGAAAATTGTTTTCACTTTAGGAGAATATAATTTTCTCTCAAAATATACAAAAATAGTAATACCAATACATGTGTCTAATATACTTTAAAACCATCCTGACAAAATTCAAAAACGAAGAGTTCTTCTCTCCAAATTTTTTTCAAAATCAAAAAAATGAGATAAAAAAGTACGTTTGGAAAATTCATTTTTAGCATTTTAGGAATTTTCTCACTTTTCTTCCAAATTGACATCCTTAATTAAATTAAATTACACATTAACACCGGAGCCGGAATCATCTTGGATATCAGATGATGATTTATCTTTAGATGGTTTCCTGCAGAAAACGAAGTAGATGATGAGAATAATAAGGATAACAGCAAGAAGAACGCCAATAACAATACCAGCCTTCTGTCCACCAGTAAGTCCACTATTTTCAGGTGTTGGAGTTGGCTTGGAATCATCAGGGCTTGGTGCAACGTATTGTTGTTTCTGAAGTGAAACCTCTGTTTCAATGATATTGGATTGAGCTTGATCTTTGGATCCAGCTAACCTAATTTGAAGTTTAACTTTCCCATCTTCTTTGATATCTTCATACTTTGGAGCTGGAATGTTGAGTAGATATGTTTTGCCTTCGTCGGCATGTAATTTCTTAATTGCAGATGGGGTTTCTACTTCAGTTACATTGTCGTCTGGGAGATCTATCCATTTCTGATCTGCATAGAATCTATATTGGAAGCTTCCTGTCTTTGCCTCAAAGTGTTGTAATGTAACTTTAACTGGAATATATTCACCGGCCTTGAATGGTTCTGTATGATTTTCAGCAACAACAGTTGGCGCAGATAAATATGGAGACTTTCCAAGAGAATATGTAACATTGCCGGTACCTAACTCGGATGTATGATTGGCGGCGAACTCAACAACAACAAGTAACTTTGTCTTATTATGATCCTCTGGAGCGTTAACTTTGAAAGTCCATTCTGTCTTGTTCGTGCTTGCTACGGCTGTTGCAGTGCTAACATTTTGTGATGTTTTGACGCTATTGACAGAGGCGTTGGAAGCGTTGCTTTCTGTTGCAAAGAGATAATATGTCTTTGTAATATTTAAGCCTGTTTTGAGTATGATTTTGGCTGAGTATGAAGTGCCTGAAGTTACTCCTGTGCCATTGTTGTATTGAACTCTATCGATAACTGGTGTGGAGACTGTGGGAGAATATGTAACATTGCCGGTACCTAACTCGGATGTATGATTGGCGGCGAACTCAACAACAACAAGTAACTTTGTCTTATTATGATCCTCTGGAGCTTTAACTTTGAAAGTCCATTCTACTTGTTCGTATTTATATCCAGTGAAGATAGAATAGAAGTTTGGAGAAGGTGTATAGAACTTTATACCTCGAACTGAAAAATCTTCTAACTTTGACAATAAGATATCCCAAGCATCTAACATCTTCCTTCCAACTTGTACAACTTTTATTTTCTTAAGTTTCTGTCTACATTCTTGTTCAGACACTATTGTTGCTCTTGGTTTGTTAAAGACAACATCCCATTCTTTCATGACATAACATTCTGGGGCAGAGTCAACATAAATGACTAAACGTTTCAAATTCTCGACTGCTTTGTTATAGTCTCTAAATGGACACATATTTCTGAATGCTTGGAAGTCATAAAAATCTGAAACATCTATTCTGTACATTTTTATAAAAATAAAAAAATATTATTTTTTTATTCTTGACTTTGTTGTTCCATTTGTTGCATTTGTTGTTCTTGAGCTATTTGTTGTTGAAGTTGTTCTTGTAATACAATACTTTCACCAGTTGCATCTTCCAATTCGAAACTTTCTGCCGTCATTGACAAATACATAGGACATAAAAGTTTTACAGGAACAAAGTTTGCGTCAACTAATGTCAACGTTATACTTGCCAAAGTGTTTGAGTTCACTAAGGTTGAAAATTCTGCATTCGAATGAACAATAGGCAAACCAGCAGAGAAAGTATTGTTTATACGCATAAGTATCTTTTGGTCATAATAGTTTCTGTCGACATTCGAATAACACTTTGAACCTAAGTTTGAAACAATATATAAGATTGGTGTGCTTAATGTCAATGGAATAGACATTCCTTGTATGACACCTTTTCCTGTTATAGGAAACTGTTGGTAGTAAAAACCAGAAATAAGTTTTGTATTATAGCTCATATCGTTTATAGTAAACTCAGTCGGACATCCAAACATAATGAAACCTGCTCTAGTTGCAGCACATGTTACACCCGTACTTAAAGTATTAAATAAGTCAACAAAACCTGTTGGTGGTATATCTGAGTAAGTATCTTCAAAGGAGTATTTTTTACCATTCACAACAATAAAGTCTTCTGGTGTCAAAAGAGCAAAACAGGCTTTAGTCGTCATTGTGTTTAAGGTTAGTTTACAATATCGTCCTTGAGGACTTTGTAAGTTTGTTGTTATAGAATTATATGACTCAGGGTTTTTAGTCGTAATAGTATAAACCATTATGTCTTCTGCCATTTACTTAGCAAATAAATTTTAATGAAATGTTGTGGTCGTCAAATATTTTTATAACGTCTGGGAAACTATATTTAAGTTCAACGTTTCCCTCCTTTCATACGTATATCTTGTCAATGACATTATATGAAACACCACAGCAACCAATGTCGGTTCTATTTCTTTGATGTTTATATCGTCTGCCTCTGTCAAAAGTTTCAATAGTTCTTTCAAAACTTCATGAGGTGCAATGACATATGAGTTCACTTTTACAGGGTTGTGTTCGACCAAGTTTAACATTATACTTAAAGCTTGACAAATCTTCTCCTGAGTTTGAAGTTTGTCTTTCAGTTGTTGGTAGTCGTTTCGAATATCTGCAACAGAACTTAAGTCTCTGCTAACTTCAGGATATGTTGGTTGTTCTTTTTACAGGAACAATTGTTATACCATCTTCGTCTCGTATGGTGTCCCCACTTCAACATCTCTGTCTTTGACATTGACAACAACACTTTGACTGTTTGTTTGAGTTGGTGAATTTAACTTCACATCTGCCACCGCCATTAAACCTTTTGAAACACTTACGCTTCTATTTTTCGGAAATGACATTTTACTTAGAATAAAAAGATGGACGTATTCGGATATCTTATTGAATTGAAGCAGAACAAAGTTTATACTCACAAACAATACAAATACATTGACAGAATAATTCTTTACACAAACAATGGAAAATGTTATAGAAGAATAGCAATATTTGCTGAAACCAAAATATTTTCATAAAGCAAAGAAAGTTGGTATAACTGAAATGCGTGAAAGTTCTTGAAGCAGACAAAAATATAACTTCAAAACTGACCGATATTACTAAAGAAAAGTTTATAATACAATATTATGTCAAAACTGGCGTACTGTCAATATTTGACGGAGAGAAGTCAGTTCAAGAACAACTTACTGACCTGCTGCCAAAATCTGCTCGATGGAAGCTGTCGTTATGCCAATCTGAGGAGCCCCAGCAGGTTTCATCGAACGAATCTTCAAAAGAGCATCTTCCGTGAAAAGTGCTATTGGTTTTGTAACTTCTTTGCTCTCAATTCATCTGGACCGTCTCTGTCACCAGTATATTGTATTTGAACTGTACCAACAGTTGAAATACCACCCATAAAGTCTTCTGAGTCAGCAAATGAATGCCAAGCCAAAAGTTTGAACGGTCTCCATTTGTATATTGAGTTTTTTGACCTCCTTTATGAGTCCATACTTTCACATATGGCATAATAGAACTTTGCATTTCAGGGTTAATAGTTGTTGTGAAGTTGTTGTTAAAGTTCATAGCATCTAATGTCAAGTTGTATGACCTCATATCCTCAACTGTAGAATATTCTTCTCTGGATAATATTTGCCATCTATGTTTATATGATATTTAATACCAGGGTTGTAGAAACAAGAATAGTCATTTATAGTTCGTCTGAACAGTACAAACATAGTATCTGCATGTTTCATTGCAGTTGTTAAAGCAATATCTGTTCTTGCACCTGTGGCTCCTGGATTTTGGTTTCCAACTTCACCTGCAAAGTCTTTGACAGATATTTGGTGTATAGGGAACATAAGTGGAACTGCAATATATTTGGCAGCTAAAGCATTGAAATATCTGGGTCCAACATATAGACTGCAAGTCTGCTTTCTATTCTCTTGCATTCAAATTTTTCGCATGTGAACTTAACTGGGTCCCAAGCAGTCCAGCAGCATTGAAATAATAGTTTACTTCATTGTTGAAGTTTGAGAAACCAAAGTCTAAGTCAACTTTGTCTTTGCAAAATTCGGCGAATGACGTTTGATTTGTTCCCTTTACGTCTGTAATAGTGAATGGGTCTTGTGTTGGTGCAATGACTAAGTTATTTTTGCTTGGAGTAAGTTCAATAGAAATTTTTCCTGCCCAGTTTGGTAAGTATCTTAAAAACCTGAAGATGAGGAAAGATGACAAAGGAACTCTAAGTTTCAGTTTTACTTTGGTTACTGCTGCTGCAGTTTGTCCAGAAAGGTTAACATAAACTCCTGGAAAGTTAGGGTCAAGTCTTCTTATTTTCTCAATAGTTGCATACTGGTCTGTTTGTTCTCTAGCTTGTGGTTGTACTGAGTTTCTCAAAGCGAACCATTCATAGTTTGCCCATGTTACTGTTTGAACTAAGTCAGAGTTAGAATATATCTTATATCCCATGAAAACTTCTGGAGCATATTGGTATCCGACATAGAAAATTCCATTGCAACCTTTCTTGTCAGACAACTTGGCAGAAGGTTTTATTTCAATGTCTTGTTCCACGTATAAGAATGAGTTGTCAATAGAAATAATATGAAACCTGTCGCAAGCAATATCTACTGTTGTTGAAGAACCTTCTCCAAACTCACCTACGTTTCCATAAGAAACAGCAGTTGTATATTCATAAGTTCCAGGAACTATTTCTGACCTTCTAATGGCATTGTCGCATTCGTTATACCATTCGGAAACATTTCCGTTCATGGTATCCAAAACTGTTGGCGTTATATTCTGAGCGGCGTACATTTCATATGGGTAAAAATATAGAATAGTTGGATTGATAAAGAACCCACCCGGACCAAGCTTTACTTTCTTCCTGGCTGACTTTTTAACTGAATCTTTAACTCTTCTTTTCCTTCATTGCCACTACTTTCACTAGATGAAGTTACTTCTTCACTACTTTCACTTTGTTCTACTCTTCTCTTCTTCTTTGGTGTCGCTTTTGGTAACTTGCCCTCTGCTTCAAGTTGTAGCATCTTTGCCTCATGTTCACCTAGTATGTTGTAAATTTCCATGTCCTTTTTGCCTTTGGGCTCTGGTCGCCCATCTCAGGTAACCTATATCCTAGAAAGATTTTGTCATAGTTTGTATTTGAGTCTTCGCTTATTGTTTGCATGACTCTTTCCTGAGTTTCCGGTTCAAGCTCTTCAAATATAGCTTGTCCATATGGAATAAGCTCGTTTCCAAATATATGTTTTGTAGCCATTCTGGTTTTCTTTCCATGTAACCAATAATATCTTTTGTGAATGGGAAAGCTTTTACCAACGTTTCAGTCTTGCGTCATTTATTTCTGTAGTTGGTTTTATTTTGTCATGGAACATGTTTTTCAATACTAACATTTCATTTGGTACTGTCCATTTGAGTTTTCTTAAATATTCACCCCTTCTCATTTCATTGTCTGCAAAGTAAGTTTTTATGACATTTTGCAAACTTTCGTTTTGCAAAGTCATGTACAATAGGTTCTCTTCCTTCTCTCTCCCTAACTCTCTTTCTAAACTCTTCACCAAATATACCATCTCTATGGTTCTGTGTAGTTCTTTGAGATAAATGTTCTAGAACGTCAGGTGTTATATTTCCATCAGCCATGTTCATTTCATACTGGTCCAAATATCTGCATCTTTCATATCTTTCAATGGCATTAAAGCCGCGCTGAAAATACCCGTTATATCTGGTTCACCATTCACTTCCATTGCGTCTACAACTTCTTGGAATTGAGGTTGTAAGTTTATGAACCACCTATCCGGATTAGCTTTATGACCCCATCTCATTGTAGTTCCATAGTCTGCAGAAACAAAAGTAGGTTTGTTTCCATATTGGTTAGGTTCTGAATGAACTTTAAACAATGTTTCATTTCTATATGTTTTGTTGAAATTTAACCTTTTATTTTCACCGAGTTCAGCCAAAGATTGAACGTTATATGGTCGTAAGTAAAAAGGATTATTGTATTTGCGTACATTTTCTTTCAGTACTTCCATTCTATGCTGAATATTTTCATCTGGTGTTGGAGTCTTTTGTATGTCGGCAAACATTTTTCGATATTCTTCTACTATGTCAGCCGAATTTTTTTTAGACTCTTGGAAATATTCCATATTCTCCGCATACTCTTGTTGAGGGTCAAGATTTTTCGGCTGTTCCAAATCTTCATCTAGTTCTGTGAAGTTAGTTTCCAAAGGAGGGACTTGTTCGTTAGTTAGTATACCTAAGTCGTGTACTGAGGCACTGCGCGCCTCCGTACACAACTTAGCTGTTTTGACACTTTACAAAACCAGTAACGTATATTTTACAACACAAACACCAACTTAACCTTAAATATTTATAAAGCCGCCAACCACTTCACCTCACTACTGTAAAAAATAAACGTTCTCACTTACAAAAGTATTGCAACTCTTCCCATTGCTGTGCTTCACATAATAGTTCATATTCTTCAGTATCGCTGCTGTCGCTCCAATCGTCAGAGTCAAAATCACTGTCATAGTTTATACCTGTAAGTTTTGACAAAGCTAATGAAACACGTTTACCGTTTGTATCGTATGCTTGTATAAACTTTCCATTCTTCATTCCTTCATAAACGCTCAAACTAACTTTACCCTTTCTCCCTCGTATCTGATAGAATGTATTTTCACGAGGAACGAAGAACAAATTCTTGAACTCATGACCGTTGTAGTTTGTTATCTCAATAGTTTTCGTCATTACATCCAAATAAAATAAAAAATAAACTTAAAAATAAAATAAAAAATTAATGATATCACCACCCTCACACGTATGAAAACATCCATTTAAATTTAGGTGAAGTGGTGAGATCTCACCTCTTTTTTCACCTGTTTTTTCACCCTGTTGAATTCATTGCTTTATAACTCTCTTCCTTGGTTTCTTTTTAGTTGCTTTCTTCACGTCTGTCTCCAACTTGACTGTCTTTCTTCTTCGCCGTAATGATACCAGTTACTTCCACCAGTCAATGGGTCAAATGGTCTTTCGTAAGGGTTTCCATACATTCCATAGGGACCATACGGAAGAACTACTGGTGGAGAAGAAACATTTTCTTTAGTTCCATCGACTCTATTTAAATGCATTGTTTCACCTTTCATCTGGTCATTAAAGTCTTTTGCATGTTTTGCAAACTCATCATCCTTTCCTAAAGCATTTTCTGACTCAGTCGCAACCAAATTGGATGCTTTATTTATGAGCCCTATTTTATTTAATCTTAACTTCTTTGCAACCCAGCCTCCAATCTTTCCTTTATTTGCATCTAATGTCTTCGAAACTCTTCCTCCACTCATTTTATTTACTGCGTCATAAGCTCCAAGTGCTTTTGCTCCAAATGCTAATGCTTTTGTTCCCATTGCGCCTAAAGCTGCCCAAGCTACCATTTACACCATATTAAAATCATCTCTCTTCAATATTATCTCATAAAAGTTCTCGTTACTGGAGAAAGTCAATGAAACATAAACATTCTCACGGGCTTCGCCCTCACCGCTTTGCGGTCTATCTAACTTCTTTCTTATATCATCTATACGCTTCAAAATGTCTGAACAATTGCTAACATCTTCTACAACAGTTATTTCATCATGAATGACCTTCAAGAACAAGCTCATTTAATATGCTATTAAAATCATCTCAATAATGAGTCCATCCTTTCCATCTTTAGGTAGCACAACATCTTTCATTGAAGAAGGTTCGACAAGTCTTATGTTAAACTTACTGACAAAGTTTGTTATACTATAATGCTTCGGCGGCGAATACATATAGTTTGAAAGACATAATATAGATTCTTCGGCAAATTCACTTATACTGGATTTTATAACAATGTTCTCACGAGACCAAACGCCACCAATTGACAATCTTGTAAGCAATCCTGCTGAACCTTCAACTGTAAACGTCGATGGTAACATTCCACGAAGGTCATCTATTGACATCGTTGAGTCACTGTATTTAAATATTTTCTTAAAGCAATCGTCATTATCTAACCATGCAATAGCTTTGAAGTTTTCATTGAATATACATCTGCTTCATTAAATGTAAAACCTGACTTCTTTGCAGAGACGACTTTAAAATCTATTGCATTTGTTTCAAAATTATATGCTATGGTAACTTCTGAAGGTAATGGATGTCCTTCCGCAGTCAGTTGTTCTCTCACTACCGTTTGAAGCTTTGTGTTAAAAACTTTCATGTCATCTCCTGTATCTAAGTTCACATACACAGCAACAGGAAAACTATCTTGCTTCTTTGTTTCATCATTATATCTCAAAACATTAAAGTTCTTCAATAATATTGTTCTTCCTGCTGGAATACTTCTAACTTGTCTTATTTCAATAGCTTTCTCACCTCCTACATACTCTACCCAGTGTCTTGGATATTCATAAGTATACTGACTTTCTTGAATTTTGGTTGGTTTCATCATAACATGTTCATAGTATATCTTTATACTCTTGTCAGTTAGACTCGGTGCTATGTTCTGAATATTTCTGACTTGCATTTTTAATGGAGATAAAATGAAGCATTTAATACATGACGTAGATGAAGACATGAATGAAACTACAGACAAACTTAACTCTTCTCTTATTCTTCCTTTCAGCAAAGATTATGAATTCTGTTCAAATGGTGTTTATTTCTATTGTGGAAAGATGGGTCAGGAAAGACATTCAACCTCATTCGTCATATACTCATAACAGAGCGTTTAGGAAACGACTCTTACTATGACCAAATCATTATATCAGCAACTTCAGACTCTATGGACTCAACAGCGAAAACATTCATGAGTAAAGTTCAAGCATCTGTCGTTAAAGTTCCAGACAGTGAACTCATTGAATTTCTTCAACGTTACATTCGACGTAAGAGAAAATATTATGCCATCGTTGAATTTATACAGTCAGGAATGCAAAAGACTTCAGAAGAGATGGAAAGAATTATTGACAAACACCACTTACGTCAGTACTCAGGAGTTTACGATATGAAACGACTGACAAACTACATTCTGTCAAAACTTTCAAAATACCCCTTCAAAAAGTATCCTTCAAATACTCTGCTCGTTTGTGACGACTTCGCCGGAAAAGGTTTAGTGTCAAAGCCTGACTCACCATTAGCTAACATCATAACTAAAGTCAGACATTACCATTTAACTGTAGCAATACTTATGCAAACATGGCGTTTCCTTGCTTTAAACATAAAACGTCTCATAACTGACTTCGTTATCTTTCAAGGTTTCTCACGTTATGATATTGAACTCATTTGGAAACAGTCAGGTATAACATTACCTTTTGAAGAAATTTGGGAAGCATATAAGTCTCTCATCTCTCCTCGTTCATACCTTGAGATTCATATCATGACTAATACCATTAAAGTCAAAAATATTCCATGGGAACGACCAACATTGTTTTAAAGTTTAACCTTCAATTGACTGATGGTAAACAAATTCCATGCATCTCTGTCGCCATTTCTGTTAATATTTTTGCTGTCATTCATATCATCCACTTCCCCATCCGTTAGCTTTTGAGGATATGCGTTAGAATAGCTGTTCTTAAATGAAGGCTTTTCACCTTTGAGAGCATAAACTCTATAACTTTCTGCATACTTTATGTTTGAACCTCCTGAGCCATCATTGACATAAATTTTTATAGGTTTCCACCCTTTGTTCATATTCCTGCTTCTTCCCTTTGCTCTTTTGTTCAGTAGTTCTACATCTTTATACACAACACCTGTCTCGGTGAATTCAACAATATTTTCATTCGTTAGCTTTACATTCAAACCCTTGTCGAGTATATTGTTCATTTCATACATATAAAAGGTTTTTATTCTATATGAAATGAGAAGCAAATCCATCTTAGCTGGTGCCGTTAATGTTCCAATTGAACCAACATCAAATGTTGACTCACGAACGACAAACAATATTGTCATAAAGAACTATAGTTCAGAGTGTTTGAAAGAAAAAGAACCAGAACTGAAATCCGTGAATTTAAACTCAGCTTCAAGTGCAAACGCTACATCAGATGTTAAGTTAGAGTATCCACCACTGGACCAAATTCTTTCAAGAGAAGCCAACGACAACCCTTACATAAATGTTCAAACAAATCCTTCAGATAACGTAGACCATTACCTTCTTCAGTTATACCAAACTATCTTACTCAAAGACGATAAGAAGCTTTTGATAAATCTTATAAGTAAGAACCAAATAATTCTAACAAAGGAGGACCTTGAAAATGTTATATCACGAATAACAGGGAAACAATGTGTCATTGACTATCTCGACCCTGAAATCGAATGCTGTGGTCAAACGCCACCATTCATGAAAATAGGTAACATCCGCATCATTGAAACACCAGGTACCAGGAGTTGAGTTTAAGTATAAATATTCGAACGAGTATACAAAACTTTCAACAGAATATAAACTTTGCTTGAAATATGTTAAATTAAAGCAATTTGTAATATCTATCCAAAACTTCTTCAACAGTATCGAACTCATCTTCATAATGCAAACCTAATCTTATTGACTTGGTGCAGTTTTCACTAACACAATATTTTTCTGTTCTCTTGACTGACATAACTAATTCATTTGTTTCATCAAACAGCAACAACCAAAGTTCATGACCTAATACATAACATTCATACTTTATATTTTTAGCTCTGAGTTCTCTTGTAAGCTGTTGCATTTAATATTTTCTAAAAAGTCAACTTCAACAGTCATTCGCACTGGTGCCTTCAGTTCTACAGGCTCGCCCTGAAAGTCAACTAGTCTGAATTGCATGTCTTTCAAATTATGAGGACTAATGCGAACCCATTTACCTAAATGAGTTGCTATGACAGGAACGTTTGGAATGAACATTGAATTGACTGCATAACAGAAGGATTTATATTCTACTGAACCTTTACTATTAACTCCTGAAATGCCTGTGACATTAGCTATTTTAGACTCAATGTACAAACAATTACCATAACATACGTATGGAACAGATTTCATCTCAATCGTTTTGTCAACACTTTTCAAAGGAAATGTCATATGGTATGCTCCCAAAAGAAGTTGTACTCTATGACTCATTCGTGTTATCTTGAACTCTTTCTTGCTACTGAACTTCAATGTTCCCTCAGAAGAGAGTTCGACATCTATGTTGTCAATAGTTTCTTCATTTATGAGAGTATCTATGACTCCAGCAATTTTATCTATTCTATACTCTGCTCTGTTAGGAAATGTTATAAAACTTCTTTTGTCATCTATTTCAATCTCTATGAAATCTGTTTCATCTGTTATGACAAAAGTTGCGATAGTATTGAAGTCAACAACTCTGAAAGCAAGCGCCTCATTCTGAAGACCTAAGTTTGTTTGTAGCTTTACTGTCCCGTATTCGTTTGGGTCTGTACTTTGCAAATAGAACAACATTTTATTCTCATTAAAATATGACTATTGCTGCATATGCGTATGAAACAAATGAAGCAAGAAGAGCACATGAACTAGTAAACGAAAACTCAACTTTAACCATTGAAGGCAATGATTTAGTCATTGACGATGGAAAAACTAAAAAAGTCATTGATTTCGATACTTTTAACACTTATGACCCATTCATTACAATAAGTAAAGTTCCTATCATAAATGATGGAACGGTGCAATATATAAATTCTACAGTAGATGCCTCATTAGTGAAAGTACTGAATGTTCTCATTGAATTGTTAAAGAGCTTTCGATTTGACGACAACATTAAATGCCTAAAGAATTTAGTCATGAATGAGAAACAAATTCTCGCGTTGCTGGTAGCAGTAATGATGTACACCTTATGACATTAGAATATTATAACGAACATAAAGATGAACTGAAAGGAGAGAAGGGTGACACCGGACCACAGGAATACAAGGAATACAAGAATACAAGGAATACAAGGACCTCAAGGCGAAAAACGGTTTGGATGGAAAGGATGGAAAGGATGGAAAAACTGCTAAATCATGGATATGGGACCTTATAAATACTGGTTTAACAGCTGCTTCATATGGAGTTCTTCAATACCAAATCGGAAAGATATGGGCAGTACTTGGTGAAGAAGCTTTAGATGACGTTAAAAATGCTTTGAACTTCATTTCAAATGGTTCGGATACTATTAAAACTTTATCTGGTTGGATGCAAGAAACAAGGAGTCAAATAGATACTGTAAGACGTATAGCAAACAATGCACGTACGGGATTGGATACTTTACGAGAAGCACAAAATACACTAAAGGAAGCAAATGATATTTCTTGGCTCAGTATCAGACATGCATGAAGATTGGCTTAAAGGTATTGAACAAATCTTTAAAAAATCACAGTCAGTCTATTGCTGACTACAAGAAAAGTATAGATTTTTTACATAGTGCTATGGACGTACATGATGGAAGCATAAGGAACTTACTTAATGCTAACAATAACTTACCAGGAACTATTAAAGCATTTATAAAGTCCTTTGTAAAACCTGGTGCTCTAACATTTAGGTCTTTGAGAGCAAGAGCATTGAAGTCAAGAGATGCAGAAACTCCAACAGAACCTACAGAAGGAACTGAAACAACAGAAACTCCAGAAGAACCACCAAAACCAACAGCTAATGAAATATTGTTCGAATATTTTCCAAGGTACTCTGTTCTCATTGCATACATTCAAGAAATACTTAAGAAAGCAGACTTGACTTTAGGAGATGATGAAAGTTCTGTATATCTTTCGTTCCAGTTTCAAATAGCAGAACTTTTGAGACAGATATGCTTAATGTATGACAACATCTCTGATTTCACAAGATATGATGACGACCATGACCCCGAACACGGTGAAGAAGAAGTTTTACAAACATCCATTAAGACAGGAAAGGTTTTAACTCAAAGTCTCATTATTGACACCAAAGATGGCGAAGTGGACGTTCTTCAAGAGCTGAAGAAAAATACTTCTTCGGGAGGTGGTGGTAGGCATGAACTTGAAATAAATGAGATAGAAGAGAAATTAGCCGAAAAAGCAGATAAAGAACATAAACACAATATCTCCGATATAAATGAACTTCAAGCTACATTAAATAGTAAAGCGGACAAAAATGAACTTGACGCAATGAACAAAGTTTTGAAATCTCATAAACACAATATCTCCGATATAAATGAACTTCAAGCTACATTAAATAGTAAAGCGGACAAGAACCACGTTCATTATATAACTTCAGACGAACAGATTATAACGGACTACCATGGATATTTAACACGAAGTGATGAAGCGAAGACAAAAAATGTTAATGAAAGAAGATATAAATACATTCGTGCTAAAGGTTATGACATAAGCTGTACTGTACAGTATGATGTAGCTAAAGCACCAGAAGCATTTGGTTATACCGGTGAAATTTATGCCTCTACTTTCAATGTTAACGGTGTATTAGTTGAACCAAGATTTACTTTGAGAGTTAAGTCAAAAATAACGTTTGAAGATGCTATTAAAAGTAAAGCTGACAAAGTTGAACTCGAAGCAATGAACAAAGTTTTGAAATCTCATAAACACAGCATCTCCGATATAAATGAACTTCAAGCTACATTAGACAGTAAAGCCGACAAGAACCATACACATAAATCCTTCACTACTGTTAGAGCAGACGACATAATATTGAACTTTGACCTTGGTTCAAGTGCACCTTTAGAGAATCCAAGTACAAGCGTAAAAGATACTCTTAACAATTTAGATAAGAGTTGCAGGAATATCGAAGATCATGCCAGAAACTTTGAAGCATATGAACTACCAACAATGTTAGATAAGAAAGCTGACAAGAACCATACACATAAATCCTTCACTACTGTTAGAGCAGACGACATAATATTGAACTTTGACCTTGGTTCAAGTGCACCTTTAGAGAATCCAAGTACAAGCGTAAAAGATACTCTTAACAATTTAGATAAGAGTTGCAGGAATATCGAAGATCATGCCAGAAACTTTGAAGCATATGAACTACCAACAATGTTAGATAAGAAAGCAGACAAAACAGAGCTTCAAACATTAAAGACAGAAATACTTCAAACATTATATCCCATTGGTTCTATTTATACGTCAATGAACTCAACAAATCCAGAAACAGTTTTAGGTTTTGGTACATGGCAGCAGATTGTAGACAAATTCTTATACTGTGCTAACTCTTCAAAGCAAACGGGTGGTTCAAAGAAAATTAAAGAAGCAAACCTTCCACCGCACACTCATACAGGAACTACAAACTTTTCTGGCGACCATAGCCACTCATTAAGAGACCACCCATTATACAACTCAGAGTATGAAGCTGGCAATGACGTTTTATCTCCATCTTATAACAATGCAGCAAAAAAGATTTTTCGACAAACTGAACCGGGAGGAAATCATGTCCATACTTTCACAACAAATCCAACAGGCTCGGGTAAAGATTACATGCCACCATTTGTGACTATATTCGCATGGTACCGCGTTCAATGAACTCGCTTGAGCCTAGAATAAAATCTTTAACTTTACATAAATGAGCTTGAAAGAAGTATTCGAAAAACATCCATGGAGGTCATTTAAGAAATTCAATGAAGCTGCAAAGAGTTGGGGATTTACTAACAGAGCTGAAGTGAAAAGGTTCTTTGACAAAAATGTTGTACATCAAACAAAAATAAACCCTTACGACTACTTTTTACCAATTTACTCCAACACTCCTGACGCATACCAATTTGACACTCTCATTCAAAGCAGAAAAGGAGGACATAACCCATTCCTCATCTTCATTAATGTTAACACTCGTAAAGCATATGCATATCCAATGAGGAATAAAGGAACTCATGAAGTTTTAAGAGTTTTACAAAAGTTTGTAGCAGAACATAGCCCAAGTACTTTAACATCAGACCAAGACAGTGCATACCTCAGCAATGAAATCACAGAATTTCTCATTAAGCATAACATAACTCACTACACTACTGAAGACCATAACCATAACATACTCGGTATCATAAACCGCTTCATAAGAACGCTCAGAGATTTAAACCAAGAGCGAGACTTTACCAAAGAAACAATGAAACATTTTCTCGAAGTATATAATTCCTCAACACATTCTACAACAGGACATACACCAAATTCAATGGCACAACAACAAGAAGAAAAGTATATACAAAAGAAACGAAGCCAAACACAAAATATCAGAAATTCAACACAATTTACCCTCATTCCTGGTACAAAAGTTCGTGTAGTTCTTGACGACAAACCGTTGACAAAGAAACGTTTAAGGTTAAGTCGAAATTATTATATTGTAGACTCTACGCAAGGTAATGGATATCTTATAAAAGCTGCCGACGACTCTATTGCGTTTTATCCTCGTCATAAATTAGTTGAAAGTAGTAATGGCAAACTTGCTGAAACCATTGACGAAGCAAAGCGAGGAGTGGTTATTGAAATACTTGGCTATAACATAAACGATGACACTTATAAAGTAAGATATGAAGGAGGCGTTGAAGATGTTATACCATCTAAGAACTTGAGAGAGTCAAAGTCAACACATCTGGGACCATTAGAGCGGGAGTACTGGAAAGACAAAAATAAGCCAGAAAGAATAAGAAAATTCTTCTAAACTTTTTCATTAGATGTAAATCAGACATGAATGAGAACAGTCATGATATCATTAATGGTACCATTTATTTTAACATAAATGTTTTCAGTGTCACCACGTCACCATGTCACCAGGTTAATTAACTTCTCTTAAAAATGATGACAACATGACATTTAGACAACAGTCCAGGAAATAAATTTTATCGTTAATGTTTTCATAAATGTTTTCAGTGTCACCACGTCACCATGTCACCAGGTTAATTAACTTCTCTTAAAAATGATGACAACATGACATTTAGACAACAGTCCAGGAAATAAATTTTATCGTTAATGTTTTCATAAATGTTTTCAGTGTCACCACGTCACCATGTCACCAGGTTAATTAACTTCTCTTAAAAATGATGACAACATGACATTTAGACAACAGTCCAGGAAATAAATTTTATCGTTAATGTTTTCATAAATGTTTTCAGTGTCACCACGTCACCATGTCACCAGGTTAATTAACTTCTCTTAAAAATGATGACAACATGACATTTAGACAACAGTCCAGGAAATTTGATGCAGTCCAAAAATAAAGTTAGTTTTAAAATTATTTTTATTTTTTTATTCCTATATAAATGACAGCAACAAACAACAACAGCAACTATATCGTTTCTGATGAAAAAGTTATTGATTCATTAGCTAAGGAATTAGTTGTGGCAGAAACTAAAACCCTCAACGAAAGAATTGGTGAAAACAAGATTGATTTACATAACTACCTCAAACATGATGGAGGAAGAGGAAGGAAAACTGGTATGGCTTTATTAGTAAATAAAATATCAAATTTAACGATTATAGATGTTGATATCAATAAATCGTACAATGATGAACTTAAAGAAACAGTTAGAAAAGATATTTTATCAAAACTTTCGGATAAAGATGTTATCGTTAAAACCGCTTCAGGAGGTCTTCACATTTATTGCAACACTAATTTCTTCTATGCAGTTTCGAACAGAATGATTAAATGTTATTCCTGCAATGATTATGATATTGATATAATGACTTCTATGGATGATTCAAAGCGTTCTTTAGTAGTTATGGCTGATTCAAGAGTTCGCAAGAATGCAACAGAACCAATCAATACATACTCATTCATTCGTGGAAGTTATGATTCAACATTAACTAGAACAGTGAATGATGATATATTAAATGATTTGAATATTAAGGTAAGAGTTGAACAGAAGAATGAAGAAATAAAGACTATCATGAATGAAAACAAAGATGTAAACATTGACGATAAATTTGCCCAGAGCATAGTTGATGGCATCTGTGATTTTGAAGTACATAATGACGGTGGAAACATGAATTTAGAAAAAGAAGTTACATTATTCACACTGTTTCAAGCAATTAATTCGTTACCTAATCATTTAATTAATGAAGCATACGATAACGTTTATAACTTCTGCAATTTAACTGAAAATGCAAAAAGTAATTTTGAAAAAGCACGTAGTAGATATGCACATTTAATGACTTCTCCATTTGTTTTAGTGAAGATTCTAAAACTATATCAAAAGGAATATTATGATGAATACGTTTTACCTTTATTACATAAGCCAAAAATAACATTTGATATAAAACTTGATGACTCGTTTTTGATAACAGATATTAGACGCAAGGCTGAAAATCATCAGTATAAAAACAGTTCTGAAGTAATTGAGGATTTATCACGTGTAATCCGTTTTGTAGATTGTGGAAACAAATACTTCATTCAAAAGGACTATAATATCCACGACAAAATGAATCAAATATCATTCGTTCTTCAATCAAACATGAAAGAGTCACTTAAAATGATTAAATTATTTAAAGAAGAAGGTAAAACAATAACAGCATGGGATGTACTACTAAATCAATTATCCTCATTAACCGTTAAGGGTGTTTGCTTTAAATCTGATTCTCCAGATGTTTTCTCAACGTTTCAGGGTTATAAATACAACATTCTCGAAAAGCCTGATTACTCAAAAATTGAAATGTTTATGAATTTCATTAAAGAAGCCATATGTGATAATAACGATGAAGTGTATAAATACCTACTCGGCTGGATTGCATCAATGATTCAACATCCTGGAATCAAGAATGAAACAGCAATTATTTTGAAAGGACTTCAGGGAACAGGTAAAAACAGATTCACAGACATTATTTCTGAACTTCTCGCCGGTTATTCATGTAAAAACATTACTGAAATAAGTGAGCTAACGGGTAATTTCAATTCAGTAGTTGAGAATAAAATGTTTCTTGTACTTAATGAACTCAAGAATGTAGGTGAAGATAGACTCGCAAACTTCAACGCTTTGAAATCAATTATAACGGATAATGAGATTAGAATTAATGAAAAGAATCAACCCAGAAGAACTGCTCAGAACGTTGCAAACTTCATTTTCGTAACTAATAACGTTTACCCTGTCAAAATTGAAGTTGGAGACAGAAGATACGTAGTTTTAAGAGTTAATGGTAAATTTAAGGGTCAATTTGATTACTTCAAGAATTTGATGAATTCATGCACAAAGGAATTTTATGATAATTTACTAACATATTTTATGCAATATGACCCTTCATCATTTAATGTACGAATCATACCGATGACTGAAGCCAAACAAGATTTAATTGAATTATCAACAAATCCTTTAGATGTATGGATAAATACACATTATGATGAATTATGTGCAGGTATGACGTGTAAAAATGCTCTATTCTGCAAACCATCAGACATGAAAGACAAAAACTTTCAAATGAGCATTAAAGATAAATGTGAAAGGAAACAGAGAAGAATAGATGGTAAACAAACATGGTGTTATGTTTTGAAAGAAGAAATGAAAGGATTATATAAACAGGTTGAACCAAACGATAATGAGGATTCATTTACTGACGATGAAATACCTGTAAATGAAGCTTTATAAAGTATGATTTGAATTTATTTTTGCATTCAACCCAGGCTGTTGTCAAAATGTCATGTTGTCAGTAATTTTAAGAGAAGTTAATTAACCAGGTGACACACGGTGACGTAGTGACACCTTCAGTTATTCAAAAATAATTCATAAATGCCTTCCTCCTTTCGTACCTGTTGTCAAAATGTCATGTTGTCATCATTTTTAAAAGAAGTTAATTAACCAGGTGACACATGGTGACGTAGTGACACCTTCAGTTCTTCAAAAATATATTTTCTTATAAAGCTTCAGGGTCTATTTCTTCAACCATTTCACTTCCTTCGTCAATGTCAATAGAAGCTTCTTCAACCTTTGGTAAGAATTTCTGTATAACATCTTTGTTCGTTATTGTCTTCAGAGATGAAGGATAATATTTCACATTTGTTTCACCCTTCTTATATTCTTTCTGTTCGGAAAGATTTAAAGCAATACTGAAGAAGTCAATATTAGAGTTCTTTATAACAGTATAATGAGTATCTTTGACATTCACGAAGAAACTCTTTTGTTTCAAAACTACTGCTAACTCTTGTGAAGTATAACGTTTGCGGTCAATGACGATAGCTAATGGTCTGACATACTGACCAAACTTAGATTCTTTCACAAACTTCTTGTTAAAGATAACATTAACATTTGAAGCATTATTGAACTCATTCTTGATGGCAGTAGCGAGAGCATTGTATGAAAAGAACTTGCAATCTTGCATGTGTTTCATTAAAATAAAAATATTAAATTATTTTGAAAAATAACTTTAAAAAATCTAATCTAATTTTTTCAAAAAATATTTTTTATTTCCTACTAAAGATGTATCGGAAGTTGTCTAAGTTAGAACACTCGGAAATAAAACAACTTCTAACAGAAGCTAACATAGAAGTAGCAAAACATTACGCAACAAACAAAAAAGCACTCGCTGACATCCTCAATGACTATAATGGTGCAATAAGTTATGATAGAATTCATGAGTTCATAAAGCCGCAACGCGGCGAGGACGAAGTCCATGCAAGAGCATTTCCTTTAAATGACGTTGCTATTGACTTATATCATAGACGTTCAGTACCTCATGAAGTAAGAAGAGAAATGTTTGACATAACAAATGCAAACGTTGGTGAAACAAGAAGAAGAGACGACACACTGAAACAACAGAGAAGAGAATGTTTAAGAGCGCTATAGAACAAGTTCGCAAAGCTAACGATGTCATTCGTTCCATTGACGACAAACCAAAGAAGGTGAGAGATGGTTAAAGAAAGATGAAGAGAATAGGAAGAGAAATGTGAAGTCAGGCAAATAGACTCATTGACTTTAACATCGAAGCTTTAGATGAACCAAACAGAGACTACTTACACAAACATTTCGGTAAGGTTTTCATGAGACTCTTAGAGAAGATTAAAATAAACTCCCAACAAAGATGGATGGTATGTTATAAACTTGGTGGAAAGTATGAATGTTCTACGTTAAACCTCAATAATATTGGAACATTACTACATCAGCTCTTGAAGGAAGAACTTTATATCAGAGATAGAAGCAAATGCTGCAGGTATTGTTGAAATGCACTATGACTTCGTTCTTGACAAACATAAAGAATCTTACCGAAATAAAGATGTATGATTTAACAGAATATGAAGGCTTAACAATGTCAGATGTAAAGAAAGGCAAACCAAAAAAGAGACCATATAGAGATGAAAGCACACTGACAAATGACCAGAAAGCCATTTTGGAAGCTCTTAAGCAAACAGGAAACCCAGCACTTATAGAAAGCTTTTGGAAAGATAATGGTGAAAAGAAGTTTTATAAGAAGAGAAGCGGTCAGTTCTGGAAGTATCTTTGCACATTACCTATAAATCTTGAACGCTACCAAATCTTCAATGAAAACTGAACAAAAGAACTGCAACACTTATGACAGAAGACAATTGTTTCGTTTATGCTTGCATTCAGGCTGGAGTAGATGGAGAGACTATTGACCACATGAGAGAAGTCATTCGTGTTAGAGACTTTCCTCAAAGTAAAGTACAAGAAATTTCTGACGCAACAGGTATAGCATTTAATGTTACCATTGGTTATTTCAATGACTCAAGACATAATGAAATAAAGAGATACATACCAAAAGAATGTGAAACTGTTAGAACTATTGACTTACTTCTTGTTGAAGACCACTACATGCTAAATGAAAGATTACCAATGACAACATATTTCATTCGCAACTATATAGAAATTCTCAAAGCTTGTGGTGGAATGAACATTGAAAAACAAATGAAGATTTATACAAAGAGAGAAGATAAATATGTAGTTCGTTATGATAGAACAACACCGTTATGGGATGTTATGAAAACATTGTGGGAGTGCAAATATTTCGAACCTATTTCTTATGGAGAACTTTTCACATATACGACTGACTTATATAAACAGAACCTTGCACCATTTAAAGACTTGTCATATGCTCCAAAGTATTGTGTACAACTGAAGAAGAAAGCCGAGTCAAAAGAAGTAAATAAAGCTAAATGTAAGTTCATTCCTGAGCACGTTTTCTTGCTGACTTTGAGTGCAGTACCGATGGCTTTCATAAAGCTTTTAACATCTGTTATGACAGTGAAGATGGTTCAGTGAGTGAAAGCATTTGGGGTCAGAACTGTGCAACAGAATTTTTGGAACGACTTCCTGACAAGAGTTTAATATATTTCCATAACCTCAGTTATGATATAAACTTCATCTTAAGACACATGACAGAAGTGAAAGGAACTCCCATCATTAAAGGTTCACGAACAATGCAAATAACTGGCTTATATAAAGGAAGGGCAATTATTATAAAAGACTCTTACAGTGTTATAAATAAGAAGCTTAAACTATTTCCTGCTATGTTTAACTTACAAACAGGACCGAAAGAAGTATTTCCATACAACTACTACAGCAGTGTTTTGTTAGCAAATGACAACAGAACTGGTGTCATTTCTGAAGCATGTAAGTTTATCCGGGATGCAGATACATTCATGAAAAACATAGATTCCATCAAAGGTTGCAGAATAGATGAGAACCACTTCGACTTAGAAAAGTATAGCACATTTTATTGCAAATAAGATGTAAGAATTTTAAGAGAAGGTTTTGTTAAGTTCCGCAATGACATATTGAAAGAATTTGATTTAAACGTTTATGACTACGTTAGTATTTGTTCAATTGCTAACAAAATTATTTGAGAACAGAGTGTACTTCCCGAATGGAAATTTATATGACCTCTCAAATAAACCAAGAGAATTTATTTCACGCTGTATTCAAGGTGGAAGATGTATGCTGTCAGATAACATTAAACAAAAGAGCGAAAAGAAACTCATTGCTGATTTCGACGCTGTTTCATTATATCCATCCGCTATAGCAAGACTTTATACTTTAGAAGGTATTCCAAAGGTTATGAAGAAAGAAATGTTAAGCACAGAGTATCTCATGAAACATTTATTCGATGACGACCAAAAGGAACCCATTGGTGAAAAGTTTATGTCCGGCTTCTTTGTTCTCATTAAGATAACAGAGATTGGAATACATAGACACTTTCCTTTAATAGTTTGTGACCCTGAACTAAATCCAGAACTTAACGTTCCAGAAGTTCAAACACTTGCTGTTTAATGTATGTTGACCATATAACATTACAAGACCTCATAAAATATCAAGGTGTCAAATGTGAAGTGTTGCAAGGATACTATTACGATGGAAACAGAGATATTAGAATAAGAGATGAAGTAAAGAAGTTGTTGAGTTAAGGTTAAAGTATAAGAAAGAAGGAAATCCTTTGCAAGAAAATATAAAGCTCATTCTGAACAGTATTTATGGCAAAACTATTCTATCTCCTATTGAGTCAAAAATAACCATAGTAAATGACAAAGATGCTATAAGATATGCCATCAGAAACTACAACCATATAGTGAAGTTCGAAGGTTTGGATGGTTCAGATAAAACTATTTTCAAGCTAACGAAAAGTATTTGCAGACACTTTAACTTCTGTCCACTTGGTGTTAACATTCTGTCAATGTCGAAGAGAATAATGTGTGAAGTATTCTGTACTGCTGAAGATATGGGTCTTCAAATATTTTACCAGGACTGCGATAGCATGCATATTTTCAATGAAGACACCCCACTGTTAGCTCAGGAATTTCAGAAGAGATACGGTAGAGAACTTATTGGTAAAACATTAGGTCAGTTCCATTCTGACTTCGCAGAAATAACACCTGGAAAACAAAGTTTAGCATACAAGTCAATATTTTGTGGAAAGAAGACTTACGTAGACTTACTCACGAATGATTTAAATGAAGTTGCATTTCATGCACGTTATAAAGGTGTAAAACAAGACGTTCTTGCTTTAACAGCTAATGAAATGTTTCCTGAAGCTATATAATGCTATTACAATGAAGATAAAAACATTCACATACCTGTTGGAACATATGACAAAGACTCTGAGTTCAGTTTAATGAAACTTTACAAAGCACTTCATGATGGTCAAGAGATTGGATTTGACTTATGTAAGTCTTCTAGTCCCTGCTTTGCTGAAAAGTTTAACTTCTCAATAACGACTAAAACAAGCTTTATTCGTAAGTTGAAGTTCTGAGGTCATTTATTTTTGTCAGCAATGAGGTCATTCGTGATAAAAATAAGCCGCTAGCGGCAAGGGCGAAGCCCATGTGGTCATTTACAATACTGCGATGGTAGAGTTTAAGAGTTGTGCTTCAATGTAGAGACAGTCCTTATGGTCTGGAGGTAAGAACACTGGGCAGTTATGGTCATGAGTGGAGAACATGTCTATCCAAAACTCACGATTGAAGCCAGTTAATTTATAGTATTTAGGATTTGGCAGTGGTGTAATTCTTGTATGACCAATGAACTCATTTTCAACTCCCTTACTTAAGTTTGAATATAATATAGCTTGCTTTCTATCCCAAATGCCAGGTGTTACAATCTTTGAAAATTCATTTTTCCTCGGAAGCATTGCATCATAATTGAAAACATTCTTGAAATCATCACTTGGTTCAGAGATTTGAAATCTTATACGTAATGGATTTTCTTTCTCTTTAGCGACTTCATTGAATGGTGAGAATACAACAAACTGACAGTCATGAGTTCTATCTTCATTTTCATTAAATTCATAATGAAAGTCTATAAGTTGTGGCTGACTACCTTCTTCTTTCAGTTGTGCAAGAAACTCACGTAAAGGCTGTAAAGTTTGTACTTCAATGTTAAACTTTTTCTCGAACATTTCATTAAATGAAATCATACATTGTTGCAATGTTGTATCGTCTTTAAAGTATTTGTATATGTGAATGTTTTGGGCGCTTAAAGACTGTTCGTCATTTTCTATCTCGACTTGAAGTATAAAGTCAACCTTTCTGAAAGCACGTGTTATATACATATTTGTTATGCCAATGTACTTCTCTTCATTTATGTTCACAATCCAGTCTGTTGGAAACTTAAACGTTACTCTGTTCCCCTTTATTTTGACGTCAGGGTTTTCACTACTGAACGCAACAGATAAAGGTATTTGTCTATACATTTAATTCGGATAAAAATAAACCATTTACTCTTTCTTTGCTTCAGCTTCTTTAGCTTTTGCTTCAGCTTCTTCTCTAGCTTTCTTCGCCAGCAAACGTGGGTTCTTCTGTCTTCCAGCAGCTAATGCAGCAAGTTGTTTTTCACTAAGTTTTCTCTTTGGTCTCTCTGGCTTTTGTTCTTGTTTTTGTTCCTTCAGTTCGGATAAAATTTGCTCACGAATTTCTTTCTTCAATGCTTCAACATCTATGACCCCTTGGGTCTTGTCCGTAGGGCTTGTCTGAGTCATTTGACTGCAGAAAAACAAAATTAAAAACTTTAACCGATGTAAAATGAGCTTGTCAAAATCAGAGCGAGAGTCTATTATATTAAATGACGCAAGAGGAATAACAACATCCTTTCTATTACGTAAGTCAGAGTAAAGATGGTAAAATATACGTAAGAAAAAGAAAGGTTCCATTAGCGAATGCAGAAAGCGACAAAATTAAGGTGCATGGCAAGGGTGAAGTCCACGAAGCCCATATAAAACCTTCTATTCAAACTGAAAAGTCAATAGAACCAGAAGAAAAGAAGCCAGATGTACTTTCAATAACGAACCAAGAGCTTTTGCAAAGTTCGTGAATTTCATTGAAAAACAAACCGAGTCAAAGAACCCTGACCCGCCAGTGAAAGAAGTTGAGACAAAAGAGAATGTACAGTTCATTGAAAATGTCAAGAAACAACTTCCACCACGAATGCCAAGAAGAAGAGTGAGAATAATGAAGTAAATAGATATTTTTATCTGAAGTAAATACATGCAGAACGAACAGCTAAACGAATTTACTCCAGCAGAGCATATTCATCAGATTCGCTCATATTTCGATATCATAGACAATGCAGTTCAAATTGGTGACACTAATAGAAAATATTCTGACGCAAAGATTCCATCACAACCTGGAACTGCTAAAGATAACACATGGGTAACATTCAATCTCTCACCTCCTGGTGAAAATATGTTGGACCTTTACAATACATTCATTACGTATAAAATGGAAGGTCAATTTATTGTAGATAAAGAAATTGGTTTCAGGTTCCAATAAAACAAACCCACCAAGATTTTGGATTGGTTTCGATGACGCTTTCTATGCAGTTGCTGGATATCAAATCCTTGCAAATGGTCGTATCGTATATTCTCAAGACAACGCAAGAGAAGAAGCATATATAACTTCAAACTCAAAACTACCGAACAAATAAAGAAAGTAGATGTTTTCTCAAAGACTCGACATGAAGATGTATGGAGTCATTCGGGAACATGCAGAACAGGACAAATTGTTAGTGGTCCAATTACAGCAGGAAAATCATTTGATTTTAAGCTTCGTTTAAGAATTCCTGTTAGAAGATTCCTTCCATTAGAAGCTATTCGATTTATTCCAGCTTTTGCAGGAAACATTCAGCTTAAAGTAAAGTTCAGTAGCGACGCCTTACAATGCACATCTATATCTGTAAATGATATCATTGCTTTCAATCCAACTCTTAAAGTTGCATTTGCTTCAGATTCAAATCCACCGACAAATAAATTTGTTCCATGGAATGAACCATTCACTATGATAACGAAGGCAGTAGAAGCTAGTGGAACAGTTACTATTACAACTGTAACCCAGCAACTATTTCGAACAAAGATGGATTTTAATGAATGTTTCATTCATCCAAAGTCATTCTCTTTAGACCCTAACATTTATACAGAACTTGTAGAACATTATACAAACGAGGCTTTATGTTTTCCTGTTAAAGTTATGGATTAGATTCCTATGGACGGTTCATTCTCAAAGAATACAGATAGTTCAAGTGCAATATTTACAGCAGCTTATACGCCTATTAATGTTAAAAGTATTTGGCACTATTTAGAAAGAAAGACAACTATTATGTTAATTTTGAGAACCCTAAGTTTAAATATCTTCAGCTTTCCATGGGAGCTTATGGAAATATGCCTGCAGAACCCGAAAAATCATATGGACCTGTATTTTATGAAATGGTTGCGAACGCCTGCAATACAAACAATGATATGATAGGATTTAATGAAGATGTTATGAGGTCATTGATGGATGATGGTAGTGTGGAACATAAATGGGATAGCTATGACAACACACATTTCTTATGTGGTTTTCCAACAGAAGTGGACTTTTGCTTCCAGCAAGGTCAAACATCTACTGCTCCAATAACATACAAATTGTCTGTTAAAGGACCTATTGAACTAGCAACTGAAAATGTACCAAAGCCACTTATTGGATTTATGAGGGATTGTTGCTTTGCCATTCAGGTAAGACAGTCAGGCATCCCCATAATAAGATTAGATGACTATAACTTAGCTACGGACGACAGTGAAGAATAAAGGATGAACGTTTATTTTTAAAGCTTATAAATGAGTTCTTCATCAAGCTCTCGCGAACCTTCACCATCTATGAAACAAACTTTACCAAACGATTATGGAGCATCTATTGAATATTTCTTACGAGCTGCACAATGGCAAAGAGCAGTCTCACCAAGGTTAGGTGTTCCACCAGCTCCTGTCAAAAATAGCATTTGGTCAAGTCCTTATATAAAATATGGTCTCCCACTAGGTTTGCTAGCTACAGCAGGAGCAGTTATGATGTTGAAAAGAAACAAAGCAAATGTTGTAAATAATACTGAAGTAGCTGAAGTTAAACAAACTCCAACACCTTCGCCAAAACCAACACCTTCACAAGCAAAACCTTCAATGACTCCTGAACCTATGGAAGTACAAACTCCTGTTCAAAAGTCAACTCCTAAACCGACTCCAACATTTAAACCAGAACCTACTCCTCAAATAAATCGTAAAACTCCTGCGTTTCCTTACTGAAAAAATAACGTTATTTTTATTTAATATTAAAATTTTTATTTGATTGAAATGACGACTAAAGTCACTGAAGCAATGAAACAAAAGTTCTTGATAGAATACATTAAATCAGGAGCGGTTCCAGAAGGTTTTTACGTTCATACTATGAAGGATGGTAGAGTTCAGTTTAGAAAGATAAAGCAACCATTAGATAGAGAAGGTATATTAAGGAAGATTAAACTTCATGAGGACAACATTGCTGAACTTAAGAAGAAGCTAGAAGAGTTGGAGAAAGGAAGAGAGTTATAAAGCAATGAATTCAACAGGGTGAAAAACCGGGTGAAAAAAGAGGTGAGATCTCACCACTTCACCTAAATTTATTTTTGTGCTATGTTTTCATACGTGTGAGGGTGGTGATATCATTAATTTTTAAGTTTATTTTTTATTTTATTTTTTATTTTATTTTTATATAAATGACGGAACAAAAGCAACTCATACAAATCGAAAAATATAACAAACATACATTTAAACATTTATTCTTCCTTCCTGAGTATAACATGTTCTTTACACTTCATCCTAGACCAGTAGATTATACATTGACTGTGTATAAAGATTGTCATGGTAGTTTTATAAAAACTTATGATGATGAAGGTAAGTTAACAAGACTATGCATTTCAAAACTTGAGAAACTTTATGACTTCAAGTATGACTACAATAGAGTTAACATTGACGATGAAGATATAGAAGAAAATTTATGAGAACGTTTATTTTTTCATTAGTGATGTGAAGTGGTTGGCGGTTTTGTAAATATTTAAGGTTAAGTTAGTTTTTGCTTTTGATTTGTAAAATATACGTTAACGGTTTTGTAAAGTGTCAAATTCACATATAATGGGTACGGTGGAACGCAGTGCCTCCGTACACTTGAAAGGTGTATGAGTAGGGGTAATTTTAGCTAAAAGTGACACACCTGTAAAAAGTGACACATCCGTGAAGGGTGTGATTACCGATCGGTAATTTCGACAGTTTAGAATTTAAAATTTTTTATGGAACTGTTGCGAGTTTCATAAAGAATTTAAGGAATATAAGCAAAGATTTGAATCAAAATCTTAGACCTAAGCCGCTCGATTCGCTCGCGGCTTCCGCGAATTACAGATCAGCAAAGATTTGAATCAAAATCTTCGAACTAAGCCGATCGCTTCGCTCGCGGTTTTCTTTATTATTTTAAATTTGCATATTTCCATCAAAAGTTCATAAGGTAAAAAATTTCGTTTATTTTTACTAAGAAAAAAAAGGTTTTTGATAATAAATTTATTTTATTTCGAAAAAGTAACAATAATCGTAAAAGGGTATTGATAGGCTTGCTAAAGTAACTAATTTTAGCTGTCAAATACTTTTGTATTTTGAAGTAAATTAGTATAAATTTGTTTTTACTTTTATTTCGAAAAAGTAGCAATAATCGTAAAAGGGTATTGATAGGCTTGCTAAAGTAACTAATTTTAGCTGTCAAATACTTTTGTATTTTGAAGTAAATTAGTATAAATTTGTTTTTACTTTTATTTCGAAAAAGTAGCAATAATCGTAAAAGGGTATTGATAGGCTTGCTAAAGTAACTAATTTTAGCTGTCAAATACTTTTGTATTTTGAAGTAAATTAGTATAAATTTGATATTATTTTAACTCCCTTTGAAAACCTCAATTTTCCATACAGAGGGAACGGAAATAGCATCCAATATTCCCTGAGAATGGTTGCGCATTCTCAGTTCCCTCTATATTTCGAACGAAGCTCTCATCGGTCTTTTTTTTAATACTAAACGTTTTTTTTCCTGTCACTTTTAGCTAAAATTTGGGTTTGCCGTTGAAATTTCGGGGAAAAATATAAGAGAAAAATTTATGAGTCGGAAAGAAAAATGTGAAATGAACTGAAGTTATAAATGGATATGTTGAGAGTTGAAAAATCAAGATAAAAAAATTGTTGAATTTGATTTTACCAAAATAGATTAAAAATTGAATGAGTGTAGCGGTTTTCAATTTTTAATCTATTTTGAAGAACATATTAGAAATTGTGAGCTGTACAAAATATTTCCCAAATATTTTGTAATAATAATTAAATAAAAATTAAGAAATATAGAATTAAAATGAGTATAATTAAATTTGGATGATTTTTATTTATCATCAACATATGGTTTTATGATAGATAAGCATTATATTCCCACTCATTATATTCGTAAATTTTGAGGTTTATCCTTCGCTTTTAAGATCATTGAATTTGATTTTTATATAAAATAGTTATATATTAGAAAATAATATGAGTTTATAACTTCAGTTCATTTCACATTTTTCTTTCCGACTCATAAATTTATCTCTTATATTTTCCCCGAAATTTCAACGCTCAATTTAAATGTATTATATAGATTCTATTTTTTGCCAATCTTTGTCTTTTGATTTTAATGACTCGAACTTTTCAATCTTCACAATTGTGAAGATTGAATGAGTGTTGAAGACAATGAAAAGTTCGAGTCAGATATATACACCAAAATATTAATCGAAGAGTATTATTATGAGGGTAGAATTTGATTATAGAATTTGTATAAAATTTTGGGAGATATTGAAATATTGTGAATAAGATCACTTCATTTTAATAATGTGGATTGAGTTTTTATTACTTACTTTAAGTAAAGATCCGAAAAGAAAGGAATTAATATATAAGAAGAAAAATATATTAACTGAGCCTAAAGTAATACCAAAACAAGTTATCAAGAGTGTTCAATACAACGATGGCAAGGAAGTAACTTCAGGCAATCCATACACAGCCAAAATCATACTCGAAACAGGCTTAAATATTACAAAGACATATTATCTCTTTGCAACAGAAAGCGAAGCTTCCAACGCCTCTGCCACTAGCGTCGCAATATCACAAAATGCTATCAATGCAACAGCCGTAGCAAGCACGAACAAGACAGAATGGACTTTCAAAGTTAACGCTACAAAGGATCATAATAAGACAAAGTTACTTGTTGTTGTTGAGACCGACGCCGATCATAAATCCAACTTAGGTACCGGTAATGTTACATATTCTCCCACAGTCTCCACACCAGTTATCGAGAGTGTTCAATACAACGATGGCAAGGAAGTAACTTCAGGCAATCCATACACAGCCAAAATCATACTCGAAACAGGCTTAAATATTACAAAGACATATTATCTCTTTGCAACAGAAAGCGAAGCTTCCAACGCCTCTGCCACTAGCGTCGCAATATCACAAAATGCTATCAATGCAACAGCCGTAGCAAGCACGAACAAGACAGAATGGACTTTCAAAGTTAACGCTACAAAGGATCATAATAAGACAAAGTTACTTGTTGTTGTTGAGACCGACGCCGATCATAAATCCAACTTAGGTACCGGTAATGTTACATATTCTCCCACAGTCTCCACACCAGTTATCGAGAGTGTTCAATACAACGATGGCAAGGAAGTAACTTCAGGCAATCCATACACAGCCAAAATCATACTCGAAACAGGCTTAAATATTACAAAGACATATTATCTCTTTGCAACAGAAAGCGAAGCTTCCAACGCCTCTGCCACTAGCGTCGCAATATCACAAAATGCTATCAATGCAACAGCCGTAGCAAGCACGAACAAGACAGAATGGACTTTCAAAGTTAACGCTACAAAGGATCATAATAAGACAAAGTTACTTGTTGTTGTTGAGACCGACGCCGATCATAAATCCAACTTAGGTACCGGTAATGTTACATATTCTCCACAGTCCCACACCAGTTATCGAGAGTGTTCAATACAACGATGGCAAGAAGTAATTTCAGGCAATCCATACACAGCCAAAATCATACTCGAAACAGGCTTAAATATTACAAAGACATATTATCTCTTTGCAACAGAAAGCGAAGCTTCCAACGCCTCTGCCTAGCGTCGCAATATCACAAAATGTTCAATGCAACAGCCGTAGCAAGCGAACAAGAAGAATGGACTTTCAAAGTTAACGCTACAAAGGATCATAATAAGACAAAGTTACTTGTTGTTGTTGAGACCGACGCCGATCATAAATCCAACTTAGGTACCGGTAATGTTACATATTCTTCCACAGTCCCACACCAGTTATCGAGAGTGTTCAATACAACGATGGCAACGAAGTAATTCAGGCAATCCATACACAGCCAAAATCATACTCGAAACAGGCTTAAATATTACAAAGACATATTATCTCTTTGCAACAGAAAGCGAAGCTTCCAACGCCTCTGCCACTAGCGTCGCAATATCACAAAATGCTTCAATGCAACAGCCGTAGCAAGCACGAACAAGAAGAATGGACTTTCAAAGTTAACGCTACAAAGGATCATAATAAGACAAAGTTACTTGTTGTTGTTGAGACCGACGCCGATCATAAATCCAACTTAGGTACCGGTAATGTTACATATTCTCCACAGTCCCACACCAGTTATCGAGAGTGTTCAATACAACGATGGCAAGAAGTAATTCAGGCAATCCATACACAGCCAAAATCATACTCGAAACAGGCTTAAATATTACAAAGACATATTATCTCTTTGCAACAGAAAGCGAAGCTTCCAACGCCTCTGCCACTAGCGTCGCAATATCACAAAATGCTTCAATGCAACAGCCGTAGCAAGCACGAACAAGAAGAAATGGACTTTCAAAGTTAACGCTACAAAGGATCATAATAAGACAAAGTTACTTGTTGTTGTTGAGACCGACGCCGATCATAAATCCAACTTAGGTACCGGTAATGTTACATATTCTCCACAGTCTCCACACCAGTTATCGAGAGTGTTCAATACAACGATGGCAAGAAGTAATTCAGGCAATCCATACACAGCCAAAATCATACTCGAAACAGGCTTAAATATTACAAAGACATATTATCTCTTTGCAACAGAAAGCGAAGCTTCCAACGCCTCTGCCACTAGCGTCGCAATATCACAAAATGCTATCAATGCAACAGCCGTAGCAAGCACGAACAAGACAGAATGGACTTTCAAAGTTAACGCTACAAAGGATCATAATAAGACAAAGTTACTTGTTGTTGTTGAGACCGACGCCGATCATAAATCCAACTTAGGTACCGGTAATGTTACATATTCTTCCACAGTCCCACACCAGTTATCGAGAGTGTTCAATACAACGATGGCAAGAAGTAATTCAGGCAATCCATACACAGCCAAAATCATACTCGAAACAGGCTTAAATATTACAAAGACATATTATCTCTTTGCAACAGAAAGCGAAGCTTCCAACGCCTCTGCCACTAGCGTCGCAATATCACAAAATGTTCAATGCAACAGCCGTAGCAAGCACGAACAAGAAGAATGGACTTTCAAAGTTAACGCTACAAAGGATCATAATAAGACAAAGTTACTTGTTGTTGTTGAGACCGACGCCGATCATAAATCCAACTTAGGTACCGGTAATGTTACATATTCTCCACAGTCCCACACCAGTTATCGAGAGTGTTCAATACAACGATGGCAACGAAGTAATTTCAGGCAATCCATACACAGCCAAAATCATACTCGAAACAGGCTTAAATATTACAAAGACATATTATCTCTTTGCAACAGAAAGCGAAGCTTCCAACGCCTCTGCCACTAGCGTCGCAATATCACAAAATGTTCAATGCAACAGCCGTAGCAAGCACGAACAAGACAGAATGGACTTTCAAAGTTAACGCTACAAAGGATCATAATAAGACAAAGTTACTTGTTGTTGTTGAGACCGACGCCGATCATAAATCCAACTTAGGTACCGGTAATGTTACATATTCTTCCACAGTCCCCACACCAGTTATCGAGAGTGTTCAATACAACGATGGCAAGAAGTAATTCAGGCAATCCATACACAGCCAAAATCATACTCGAAACAGGCTTAAATATTACAAAGACATATTATCTCTTTGCAACAGAAAGCGAAGCTTCCAACGCCTCTGCCACTAGCGTCGCAATATCACAAAATGTATCAATGCAACAGCCGTAGCAAGCACGAACAAGACAGAATGGACTTTCAAAGTTAACGCTACAAAGGATCATAATAAGACAAAGTTACTTGTTGTTGTTGAGACCGACGCCGATCATAAATCCAACTTAGGTACCGGTAATGTTACATATTCTCCACAGTCCCACACCAGTTATCGAGAGTGTTCAATACAACGATGGCAACGAAGTAATTTCAGGCAATCCATACACAGCCAAAATCATACTCGAAACAGGCTTAAATATTACAAAGACATATTATCTCTTTGCAACAGAAAGCGAAGCTTCCAACGCCTCTGCCACTAGCGTCGCAATATCACAAAATGTTCAATGCAACAGCCGTAGCAAGCACGAACAAGACAGAATGGACTTTCAAAGTTAACGCTACAAAGGATCATAATAAGACAAAGTTACTTGTTGTTGTTGAGACCGACGCCGATCATAAATCCAACTTAGGTACCGGTAATGTTACATATTCTCCACAGTCCCCACACCAGTTATCGAGAGTGTTCAATACAACGATGGCAAGAAGTAATTTCAGGCAATCCATACACAGCCAAAATCATACTCGAAACAGGCTTAAATATTACAAAGACATATTATCTCTTTGCAACAGAAAGCGAAGCTTCCAACGCCTCTGCCACTAGCGTCGCAATATCACAAAATGTTCAATGCAACAGCCGTAGCAAGCACGAACAAGACAGAATGGACTTTCAAAGTTAACGCTACAAAGGATCATAATAAGACAAAGTTACTTGTTGTTGTTGAGACCGACGCCGATCATAAATCCAACTTAGGTACCGGTAATGTTACATATTCTCCACAGTCTCCACACCAGTTATCGAGAGTGTTCAATACAACGATGGCAAGAAGTAATTTCAGGCAATCCATACACAGCCAAAATCATACTCGAAACAGGCTTAAATATTACAAAGACATATTATCTCTTTGCAACAGAAAGCGAAGCTTCCAACGCCTCTGCCACTAGCGTCGCAATATCACAAAATGCTATCAATGCAACAGCCGTAGCAAGCACGAACAAGACAGAATGGACTTTCAAAGTTAACGCTACAAAGGATCATAATAAGACAAAGTTACTTGTTGTTGTTGAGACCGACGCCGATCATAAATCCAACTTAGGTACCGGTAATGTTACATATTCTCCACAGTCCCACACCAGTTATCGAGAGTGTTCAATACAACGATGGCAAGAAGTAATTTCAGGCAATCCATACACAGCCAAAATCATACTCGAAACAGGCTTAAATATTACAAAGACATATTATCTCTTTGCAACAGAAAGCGAAGCTTCCAACGCCTCTGCCACTAGCGTCGCAATATCACAAAATGTTCAATGCAACAGCCGTAGCAAGCACGAACAAGAAGAATGGACTTTCAAAGTTAACGCTACAAAGGATCATAATAAGACAAAGTTACTTGTTGTTGTTGAGACCGACGCCGATCATAAATCCAACTTAGGTACCGGTAATGTTACATATTCTTCCACAGTCCCACACCAGTTATCGAGAGTGTTCAATACAACGATGGCAACGAAGTAATTCAGGCAATCCATACACAGCCAAAATCATACTCGAAACAGGCTTAAATATTACAAAGACATATTATCTCTTTGCAACAGAAAGCGAAGCTTCCAACGCCTCTGCCACTAGCGTCGCAATATCACAAAATGCTATCAATGCAACAGCCGTAGCAAGCACGAACAAGACAGAATGGACTTTCAAAGTTAACGCTACAAAGGATCATAATAAGACAAAGTTACTTGTTGTTGTTGAGACCGACGCCGATCATAAATCCAACTTAGGTACCGGTAATGTTACATATTCTTCCACAGTCCCACACCAGTTATCGAGAGTGTTCAATACAACGATGGCAAGAAGTAATTTCAGGCAATCCATACACAGCCAAAATCATACTCGAAACAGGCTTAAATATTACAAAGACATATTATCTCTTTGCAACAGAAAGCGAAGCTTCCAACGCCTCTGCCACTAGCGTCGCAATATCACAAAATGTTCAATGCAACAGCCGTAGCAAGCACGAACAAGACAGAATGGACTTTCAAAGTTAACGCTACAAAGGATCATAATAAGACAAAGTTACTTGTTGTTGTTGAGACCGACGCCGATCATAAATCCAACTTAGGTACCGGTAATGTTACATATTCTCCACAGTCTCCACACCAGTTATCGAGAGTGTTCAATACAACGATGGCAAGGAAGTAATTCAGGCAATCCATACACAGCCAAAATCATACTCGAAACAGGCTTAAATATTACAAAGACATATTATCTCTTTGCAACAGAAAGCGAAGCTTCCAACGCCTCTGCCACTAGCGTCGCAATATCACAAAATGCTATCAATGCAACAGCCGTAGCAAGCACGAACAAGACAGAATGGACTTTCAAAGTTAACGCTACAAAGGATCATAATAAGACAAAGTTACTTGTTGTTGTTGAGACCGACGCCGATCATAAATCCAACTTAGGTACCGGTAATGTTACATATTCTCCCACAGTCTCCACACCAGTTATCGAGAGTGTTCAATACAACGATGGCAAGGAAGTAACTTCAGGCAATCCATACACAGCCAAAATCATACTCGAAACAGGCTTAAATATTACAAAGACATATTATCTCTTTGCAACAGAAAGCGAAGCTTCCAACGCCTCTGCCACTAGCGTCGCAATATCACAAAATGCTATCAATGCAACAGCCGTAGCAAGCGAACAAGACAGAATGGACTTTCAAAGTTAACGCTACAAAGGATCATAATAAGACAAAGTTACTTGTTGTTGTTGAGACCGACGCCGATCATAAATCCAACTTAGGTACCGGTAATGTTACATATTCTTCCACAGTCTCCACACCAGTTATCGAGAGTGTTCAATACAACGATGGCAAGGAAGTAACTTCAGGCAATCCATACACAGCCAAAATCATACTCGAAACAGGCTTAAATATTACAAAGACATATTATCTCTTTGCAACAGAAAGCGAAGCTTCCAACGCCTCTGCCACTAGCGTCGCAATATCACAAAATGCTATCAATGCAACAGCCGTAGCAAGCACGAACAAGACAGAATGGACTTTCAAAGTTAACGCTACAAAGGATCATAATAAGACAAAGTTACTTGTTGTTGTTGAGACCGACGCCGATCATAAATCCAACTTAGGTACCGGTAATGTTACATATTCTCCCACAGTCTCCACACCAGTTATCGAGAGTGTTCAATACAACGATGGCAAGGAAGTAACTTCAGGCAATCCATACACAGCCAAAATCATACTCGAAACAGGCTTAAATATTACAAAGACATATTATCTCTTTGCAACAGAAAGCGAAGCTTCCAACGCCTCTGCCACTAGCGTCGCAATATCACAAAATGCTATCAATGCAACAGCCGTAGCAAGCACGAACAAGACAGAATGGACTTTCAAAGTTAACGCTACAAAGGATCATAATAAGACAAAGTTACTTGTTGTTGTTGAGACCGACGCCGATCATAAATCCAACTTAGGTACCGGTAATGTTAGCTTTTTACCTGTTGAATCACTTGGAAAGTCTCCATATTTATCTGTAGCAACTGTTGTTGCTAAAAATCATACAGAACCATTCAAGGCTGGTGAATATATTCCAGTTAAAGTTACATTACAACACTTTGCGGCAAGGACACGAAGCTTCCAATATAGATTCTATGCAGATCAGGAATGGATAGATCTCTCAGACGACAATGTAACTGAAGTAAAAACCCAATCTGCAATTAAGAAATTACATGCCGACGAAGGCAAGACATATCTACTCAACATTCCAGTTCCAAAGTATGAAGATATCAAAGAAGATGGAACAGTTAAACTTCAAATTAAGTTAGCTGCATCCAAAGATCAAGCTCAATCCAATATCATTGAAACAGAGGTTTCACTTCAGAAACAACAATACGTTGCACCAAGCCCTGATGATTCCAAGCCAACTCCAACACCTGTTGCAACAAATGTCAAGCAACCCTATGCTTTTAAACCGAGTTATTGGTGCACAGAGTGGAGGTTTAAGAGCGGCACTTTTAGCGAAAATGGCAGGCTATGGTGGAGCTGCAGACGGAACAGCTTATAACCCTCAAAGTCAAATGAATTTGAGTTCACTCAAAAATCAAATAGCAGATGTCAAAAAGTCAAACATAGACATACAGAAACAAATAAGTGAAAACGAAAAGAAACTAGAATATGACAGACACACAAAGAAACTCAATGAGTTAAACGTAGAGAAAAAGAAGAAAGAAGAACAACTGAAAGAACTAAGTACAGAGGAATATGCGAAAAAAGTGTCAGAAAAACAGCAGAAGTAGCAAAAATGGAACAAGATGTTGTAAATTTGAAAAACCATACTACTCATATAAAGTACTGAAAGATGAAGAGATAAAACAAAAAGCCATGAAGACATATATGGATAGCGATGAGTATAAAAAAGAAGTTGAAGCAAATGTAAAGGCAGAAAAACTTTTACAGTTGCAAAACCAAACCGTACAGTATGAAAACTTAGCACAAGAAAGTAAAAATAACGACGCAGCCATGCAAAAGGCAATGAAAAGCGCAGAATATATATAAAGCTAACAATGACTGGTTAGATACCCAAGCCAACGCTAAAGCAGCCCAACTTATAGGGTCAATAAGGACAAAAATACAAGCGGATGAGACAGTTCAAATGAAGCTTTAACAAATGCTGACTTTAAGAACGCCTTCGAAGCTCTTCATAGTAAGGTGAAACTAGTGAACGACTTCTCATCTGGAAAGAAACTGAAGTCTGAAGGTTTCGACAAAGAGTTAAGAGAAGTAGCACA